GGTGGGTCCATTTGGGGCAAGCGCTCCCCTTATAGGGGATTTATATTTTAATTTTTGATTGACCCCTGCTTTTATACATTCTTTTCGATAGACCTCCCTTTTTCCCTCCGAGGATTGCGAGGGGGCATTGGAAAATTCTGGATCCGACAATGTCTACCTTAAAACGTTAACCTTATGTGGGTGTGGATGGGGGTTTACAGAATAGAGAATGAGGGGCAAACCAAAAAAATAAAGAATAGAGAAAAATGGGGTGTTAAAATATAAAGAATAGAGAATAGCAGTCACAATTTATAAAGAATAGAGAATAGCAGACAAAATTTATAAAAAAGTACAGAAAAATGGTCTAAAAAGAGAATACAGAAATGAAGGACCCCATTCCACACCCTCCTTATCATACACTTATTTACTAAATATGAAGACATGAGGACAATAGCAAGTTTATTCTCCCCGAGAATTCAACTATTTCCCGAAGCGAAACGGAGTGAAAAAGTTGGTGTCGAGGGAGACACTAAATTTGCTATTGTCCGAATGGACAGTAAATAAGTGTATTATCATACAGAAAGTACGGAAAAATGTTTGCTTCCAGTAAATAGTTCATTCCACGTAAATAGTTTTTGAACCTATATATAAACCGGTAAATAGTACTTTTTACGGGAAAATGTTTGCTTTTGTAGATCGTTCATATCCAGTACATAGATTTTGAAACTATTCACCATTAAATAATCTTTTTAAGACAATTTCGTAAAAAGGTAAATTTATTTGTCTACAATTTGTCTACAATTGTGTAAAGAAAAGACATAATAACACATTTTTTTTAAACTTAGTATTACATCTCTGGAATTATAAATCAAATCCCATTCCAAATTATCTGTTTTAAGTCTGACATTATAGGTATAATTTAAAATTTCCGACTGTTTACTTTGTCTGTATCATATAAAGTGCATATTTTGACGATGAATAGCAACCCAATTGTTATCAATCATAATGAATTGTGTATTGCATAACACATAATTATATATTTTTACACTCATAAATACTGTTCGCTCTGTCATTTAATGGATTATTATGACAAGATAAACTTTTATGAAGTAGCCATTAGTTATAAAGATTAATTGTTAGCAGGTCACGAATTATTTAAATCTTCGTGTCTTTACGATAAATCACCATGCACAACCTTTGATCATTTAATTACAAAGTTACCATCTTTAAAAAAATATGAAAATTGTGTAAAAAGATGTATACCCAAATTCAAAGTGTGGGTGGTAGACTGCTATAACCTTGTCGCTCCATTATGGGTGGTACAACCATCAAGTATGGTTGCACACTGCAATGAAAGTGTCCACTCGGTATGAGGCATACATTTCAATGACCTTGTCCATCCAGTTTGGTAGTACACTGCAATGACCTTTTCCATCCAGTATGAGGCGTACACTTCAATGATCTTGTCCATCCAGTATGGAAGTACACTTCAATGACTTTGTCCATCCAGTATGGGTGGTACAGTACAATGACCTTGTCCATCCAGTATGGATGGAACAGTGCAATGACCTTGTCCATCCAGTGTGGGTGGTACACTGCAGTAACCGTGTCCATCCAGTATGAGGCGTACACTTCAATGACTTTGTCCATCCAGTATGGGTGGAACACTACAATGTCCTTGTCCATCCAGTATGGGTGCCCGTGGTACACTACAATGACCTTGTCCATCCAGTATGGGTGGTACACTACAACGTCCTTGTTCATCCAGTATAAATGGTACACTGCAGTGACCTTGTCCATCCATTATGAGGCGTACACTTCAATGACTTTGTCCATCCAGTATGAGGCATACACTTCAATGACCTTGTCCATCCAGTATGGAAGTACACTTCGATGACTTTGTCCATCCAGTATAGGTGGTACAGTGCAATGACCTTGTTGTCCATCCAGTATGGGTGGTACAGTGCAATGACCTTGTCCATCCAGTATGGGTGGTACAGTGCAATGACCTTGTCCATCCAGCATGAGTGGTACAGTGCAATGATCTTTTCCATCTAGTATAGGGCGTACACTGCAATGACCTTGTCCATCCAGCATGGGTGGTACAGTTCAATGACCTTTTCCGTCTAGTATAGGGCGTACACTGCAATGACCTTGTCCATCAAGTATGGTGGAACAGTGCAATGACCTTTTCCATCCAGTATAGGGCGTACACTGCAATGACCTAGTCCATCCAGTATGGATGGTACACTACAATGTCCTTGTCCATCCAGTATTGGTGGTACACTACAACGTCCTTGTTCATCCAGTATAAATGGTACACTGCAGTGACCTTGTCCATCCAGTCAGAGGCGTACACTTCAATGACTTTGTCCATCCAGTATGGGTGGTACAGTGCAATGACCTTGTCCATCCAGTATGGGTGGTACAGTGCAATGATTTGTCCATCCAGCATGGGTGGTACAGTGCAATGTCCTTGTCCTTGTCCATCCAATATGGGTTGAAAACTACAATGTCCTTGTCCATCCAGTATGGGTGCCCGTGGTACACCACAATGACCTTGTCCATCCAGTATTGGTGGTACACTACAATGTCCTTGTTCATCCAATATAAATGGTACACTGCAGTTAGCTTGTCCATCCAGTAAAAGGCGTACACTTCAATGACTTTGTCCATCCAGTATGAGGCATTCACTTCAATGACCTTGTCCATCCAGTATGGAAGTACACTTCAATGACTTTGTGCATCCAGTATAGGTGGTACAGTGCAATGACCATGTTGTCCATCCAGTATTTGTGGTACACTACAACGTCCTTGTCCAACCAGTATAAATGGCACACTGCAGTGAGCTTGTCCATCCAGTATGAGGCGTACACTCCAATGACTTTGTCCATCCAGTATGGGTGGTACAGTGCCATGACCTTGTCCATCCAGTATGGGTGGTACAGTGCAATGATTTGTCCATCCAGCATGGGTGGTACAGTGCAATGTCCTTGTCCATCCAATATGGGTGGAACGCTACAATGTCCCTGTCCATCCAGTATGGGTGGTACACCACAACGTCCTTGTCCATCCAGTATAAATGGTACACTGCAATTACCTTGTAAATCCAGTATGGTTGGTACACTTCAGTGACCTTGCCAATACAGTATGGTTTATACACTGCAATGACCTGGTCCATCCAATATAAATGATGCTCTGCAATGACCTTTTATACAGTACGGTATGGGGCGTACACTTCAATGGCTTTGTCTATACAGTATTGGTAGTACATTGCATTGACCTTTACAATCCATTCTATGCGGTACACTGCAATGTCTTTGTGGATCCAGTATGGGTTGTACACTACAATGTCCTTGTCCCTCCAGTATGGCAGAAACACTGCAATGGCCTTGTCCATCCAGTATGGATAGTACAGTTTTCTCCCGGTTTCTACACCAATAGAAACTAGTCAGGCCAGGTTTTTTTATAGTTGGATAACGGGTTTTTTTTCATGAAAGATTCGGGACTGTCGGTCTGTGAAAAAAATATTTCAAGTCATGAATATTTAAAGATTTGCTTTGGACTTCAGCTTTATTATTATATTTTGTATTCTACTTTTTTGTGATCATTCCTTAAACTTTAATGTCAAACATTTTCTCGGCTGTTTTAACAATACCATATAAGAATAAAAAGATGTGGTATGAATGCAAATAAGACAATTCTCCGCCAGAGACCAAATGATGTACGGTCTTCAACAATGAGCAAAACCCATACCGCATATGACAAATGTAAAACAATGCATGCAATCGTCATCGTCATATAGAGGTCTTTTTTTTACTTTAGGGACCAAAACCATATAAACCCCAAACCCTAAACCTAACCATCACCGACGCTCACAGAACAAACAAAATCAAATGATATCTTTAATATAAACCCGAAAGTATATCTGCTTGTCGACAAGTCACCTTTTACTGTTTTGGTCGAGATGAAAATTCAAGGCTATAAATTTAGAAATCTGTAATGTATATAAAAATATCAATCATATAGAATCATAATTCAGAACGTTTGAATAGATATATTGACCATCTACGGAAGTAAAATATAAATATTTAGGCTGACAATCATTGAATTTGTTTATATCGTGAATGAAGCTTTCAATAAATTAATTATAAATGTAATTAAACAACATTGATTAACTGCTATGACTCTGAAATGTCATTTATAGATTATACCGGACCAAATATACTACATTTATTTAAATAGAGCAAATATATCAGACATTGCACCGTATAGTTGTCATTCAAAATGTTTGTTGAAATTTACAATGTAAATTGTAATGTTAATTTTGGTAATTAGCGGCACCTTTGAAATTTACATTTGATGAAGATTAATTGCTATAACCCAGCGGTTTCACCGAGGGATTTATACTTTGTGTGTTGGGTTTTATCCAGGTGAAAGGGGTTCGACATGGGTGGAATCTTTTAAGTCAATCTTATCGAAAAAAGGCCAGAAATATAAAGGATAGGGAATAATGGGCAAGATGTATCAAGAATAGAGAAAAATGGCTTGTCAAATAAGGAATACAGAATTAAAGGACCCCCATCCAGACCATCACTATATAGGAAACTATACAGCTGAATGTTCACAGCTGCATTACACCTGGTTTGAAAATACCGTTGAAAGTTTATTATCGTATAGTTTAGCCACATGTTTCCAAAATAAGCTTGAACAAGTTTATCTCTATTGTACGGTTAGAGATATATTTTATCGAGCTTGATATGCTCTGGCGTGGGACATGTTAATTAATTACAGATGTTATATTAAAATTTCAGTGTCTTTAGCGATTCAAAATGGATTAAGATAACATTTGAATACAACACATCAGTACATCTTATTTTAATTAAGAAAGCGAGTAGCTAATGACGCAATATGTTTATCTTAAGTTTAAAGGGGATGAAATATAATCATACGCGGTGTATTATTAGTTTTAATTTGAAAGAGACACTAATCATTTTTCTTTTATTTCTCAATCAAGATAGACCCATGCTCAGAAAAAAAGTATACAGTTATCGACGATTATCGACGATCACCTGACTACAAGACAAAACCTTCCGAACGCCGGTTGTGCGATAATCGAATCAAGCATGGATGGTATCGATTTAAAATCAATGGATCTGATGCAGAAATTCCAACCACGTGCATTCCAGTAAGTAAAAGAAAGCCATCAAAGTTGGAGCAAGATCGATTTATTTCGTTTCAGCTATAATCCACATTCCGAGGTCCATTCTAAACTTTTAAATATTTGTGAGATTACCATTCCTCATTTTGTAAAAAATGTATTAACGAAAATACCGAACTCAAAGGTAAATTCAAAAAGGGAGAAGTCCATACAACCAGACTAAACCAACATGCATCTATGGTGTGAGCAACCCAAACAGACATCACAATTGGTTAATGTGGCAATTATTGATTTATAGCTGTTGTCTTTGCGCAGCTGGATAAAAAATAGCTGACCATACTTCCTGTAAAGATTTTCGACCTTTTATCATAGAGAAAAACTGGTCGTTTTGTCTTTCGCGGATAGATGAAGTCTGACCTTTGTTTTCGCAGGCATACACTTTGAATCAAATCTGACTTGTCACTCCTAAAAAAAATAGTCAGTACTCTTTCATGGATAAATAAAAACTGACATTTTGGCAGCTTAATAATATAAAAAAAAAGCAAAAATGTTGGTCTTTACTTGACAATAAAAAAAGTTATGTATTGTTTTTGCTGTCAGAACAAACACAGAAATTATGTATTGTTTTCGTGGATAAGTAATTGTGCAAGTCTTTTGTCTTTCCTGGACAAATGATAATGCCTGCATGCATGGAACTGGGACATACTATATATTGACAGGACTTGACACTCGACAATCTTATCGATTTCATTGTCGCGTCATAGTTAATAATTCTATTTCAAGCTTGGAATCTGCATAAATAAAAGCAAACTTTCAAATATTTGACAAAAGATAACTTAATATTAAATAGGCTATCTTCGATTTTGCCTGAACGTGCCAGCAGCTTTTCACACTTTTCCATTTTTTACATACGTTTAAAATGCATCCAAAACAGATTAAAATGTTTCAGATGAAGAACTGTATAGAGTAGAAAATATGATGATGAGTAGGACGACAATGACAAATATAGAGAGGGTGACACGGGATGCGAATTTCCCAATTCACGCTGTTTTGTAATATTCACACTTTCACTCCCGAAAAGCGTGTCATCGACCTCAATATAGGAGCCTCTGAATAGGGGGTCCTTAATTTCTCTGTTCTTTAATTTTATACCATTTTCTGTTTTCATTATTTATTCCGTCCATAATTATTCTCTATTCTTTATATTTTAGCTCATCATTTATTAGTTCTCTATTCTTCATTGTTTTTCCTATTTTTCTTTATTCTGTATGTCTTTTACCTTTTATGTTGCACGTTTTGTCCATTCATGATTCTCTATTCTGGAAACCCCATCAAGACCCTCATCATAGGCGAAAAATTATTTTGACCAACTTAAACCAATTTGAAGTAAACCGAATATAGAACGACAGAACTAAATGTGTTTACTCCTTCTAAAAGACAATAACAAGACTTGAAGTTTACGTAATTGCAAAAAAAATGTGTTTACAGAAAATTTTTAACTACTGATAATTTATTTTCAGCATGGTTGTGGAACACGTGCCCCTATTTGGCTTCCTCTACCAGCAGATGGATTACCGTCTCCCGGAAAGAAAATAAGAACGCAAGCATGCGCTTCGTTTGAGGTACCAGGGAGGGAATTAGAATGTTGTGGATTAAAATTCCCAGTTACCGTTAAAAACTGTGGCGATTTCTTTGCGTATCGTCTGCGAAGTACAAAAGGGTGCGATCTTGCTTACTGTACTAAAGGTACTAACTCAACATGAGAAACACACAGACACACGTAGGGAAACATTTTTGCCCATCCACGGATCGAAATTTTTTAATATAAAACGAACGTTCAATGATTTCCGGAAATTGTGCATTAACTGTTCGGAAGTTGCTACAGAAATTCTAATAGAGACTTCCGGTTATGTGTTTTTGTAATAGAAAATATTGTGTAAGAGCTTAAATAATGAAAACTGCAATCACAATTGGCAGTCGTCCTTTCAAAATCGTACCCTTGTAGGCCACAGTTGGTCAATACATCATAGGAAGATCAATTAGCAAATATAGACTTATCAGTATCAGCTAGGACACACCACTGTAAAAGTTACGAGTCCCAGCACTCGCCCTAAAATTAGTGAGAACCTCAACAATGAGTAACTTCATAAACTTAAGATTTTTGCTCACAACACCATGTTTCTGAAAACAGCTTTATTTATCTAATATATTTCTACTTTCAAAAATTGTTCTAGAGTTAAAATTGTAAAAAAAAATTATAAAACATATAAATAATAAATACTTGCACATGTTAAAATCAGTTACCATTAATTTTTTATGCCCATGCCAGTAGGCAAAGGAGGCCTTAAGTGTTACCCTTGATCTTCTGTCCGTCCGTCCCATTTTCATTTCCCCACTGTTAAGTTTTTACCCTTTCAAATTTTATGAAACTCATGAACAATGCTATGAAACCAAAAATCACAGAAAGACATCCAATTTGGGCAGTGAGTCACTTATTGTTCTAGAGTTATGCCCCTTTAATAACTTGGAAAATTGCCAATTTTTTTGTTTCCTCACTCTAACTTAAGTTTGCCTCATGCAAATTTTATGAAACTCAATGATAAGAACCAAATTAAAACCTCGCAGACAAAGTTTGTATTTGGGCAGTGAGTCACTTACTGTTCTAGAGTTATGCCCCTTTATAACATAGAAAATTGCAATGCTGGATCGGGGACATTTGGCCCTCAGACACATTCTTCTTTTATTTTCAATATTTTGTGTCATAAGCTATAGAGGATGGCCATTTAATTCTGAGAGTGGGGCTGGCAAATTTGTTGAGGTCAGAATATTTTTTTCCAACATGAAGGCATCCAGATTATTTATTTTGACTCGCCCCAGTGCCAGAATATTTATTTTCTGCTCGAAATTAAAATTTTATGATACAGATCACTTTTTTGTTAGGATACACATACAACTTAAATAAAAATGCAGACAAATTCAATCTTACAATTTTGATTCTATTGAAACATGATACCGGTACTAAGCATAACAATCATGGTTGGATCCCTGGCTCTTAGAAAAGGAGGGCATAATTTGTGTCAATTTAGAAAATATGTTCAAAGCGTAGGAAGGCAAATAAAAAATAAAAAAAATGATATTGTTCAGTCAGAAAGGGGGGGACATATACTCTCAGAATCAAATGGTTGTCCCCTTAGTTTGCCTTAAAAGTGGGGCATTGAAATCTTCTTAACAACGGATGGTCATTAGATTATGAATAATAGATATGAGTCAAATCCGACATACCTCCTTTAGGGGATTTGGTGTGCAACCTTGCAACCTGACATATCATTTAAAATTACTTGTGACCTGTGATCTTCAGAAAAGTTTAAAATCTTACTTTAAAGATTTACTTGAACATGTTGAATTGGCTTTAAAGTCACCTGGTGACCTGAGTCATTTTAAAAAGTGACCTTTCAACTTTAAGAGAGCACCCTACTGGAGTGGAGCCCCCAATATATTCATCAATACCCAGGGTGTGAAGTCTCTGCATTGGCTGATATGTACTGAGTCTGAACATTCTGTACTGTTTTTATTTTGATAGTATCTGAATTCCCATCTGAGTATTAGGAAAATGCTCTAGTAAGTTATGAATTTTATAAGACAGAATATCCAGTCAAAATCATAATCGACTGACTATTGCATGAGAACAAGACAGAATAGCTTTCAATTTGTGTAGTTGGGATAGAGCTAGCAGAGACCAAATTTATATTAACTGGATCAGATACCCACTTAATATGCCCACTAAGTATCTAAGGAATTTCACCTGATTTTACCATTTTTGGGATGTTTATTAACTAGTTATTATAATTTTTTCAGTTATAAATGTGGTTTGTGAAGTTGGACAAGTTTATGTGCTTCATTTGCAAAAATGTGTTGGTAAGTAATATTTGTAATTATTGGCAAGTTGAACATTTTCCCTTTGATCCTGCTGACTAATATTATTCTAGATCATGGACAGGACCTGGGTTATCGGTCATTAAACTTTACTCAGTGCTCAGATTACGATTTTTTCTCGAAACAGCAAATCCAGTATTTTGATTGGTTGATCTCTAAGCCTGAGTATGATAATCATGCTCAAAAGTTTTATATTGATTGATTGATTGATTAGTGTTTAATGCCACTTTCAACACTATTGTGATATTTCTTGGCGGTCAGTTTTTTTGGTGGAGGAAGCTGGAGTGCCCAGAAAAAACCATTACCTTCGGAAGGAAAACTGACAATCCTAGTCCAATAAGGTTATAGTCGAGCACACCTGCCACATACAGGATTCAAACTCACAACCTCAGTGTTGACTGGCTAGTGATACAGTAGTTGGACTACTTAGACCACTCAGCCACCGAGGCTCCTTAAAAGTTTTATAACCACAAGTCCAGATACAAATATTGGGCAATGATGTCACATGTCAGTGCAGCACCATCACTCTTTCATATCCATCTGCATTAATTTTGTCAATGAAAGGCACACAACTATTCATACAACAAAACAACTAATACGTTTTGTAAATTGTACGCGTGAAAACAGTTTTACTAACTATTTTATTTGATGTCATACTTTAAACCAAAGAAACAAACTATAAGATAAATTGACAATAAAAAGAATAATGGCACTTTATCTTTTTATACTGAGTTTATCAGCACGAATATCATCTCACCCTAGCAGGCTCACTTGAATGATTTGTATTCTTGATGTTAGAATCAAAAATAAAAATGGCATCTATATTTGTATATATTTGTATCAAAAAAGAATACAATAAAAAAAGGTTCATAGGTTATAGAAGAGTGAGCAAAGAAAAAAAACAGGTCTAAAGAAACAAATACAATTTCATCAATGAAACAAATTAAAGAAAGAAAAAAATGCTACTTATACTATAGAAAGTTATGAATATTAAATATAATAATAAGTAGACTAAAGACTTAGAAGTTTGCAACTAGTCACTGTACAGCCTTCATCAATGAGCAAAAACCATACAGCATAGCAAACTATAAAAGGCCTTGAAATAACAAATGTAAAAAACAATTCAAAGATGAATAATAAAATTGAGAATGGAAATGGGGAATGTGTCAAAGAGACAACAACCCAACCAAAGAGCAGAAAACAGCCGAAGGCCACCAATGGGTCTTCAATACAGTGAGAAAAAATGGCCTGGTTTATGTACAAAGCAATTCAAGTCCTTTACAGTCTTAAATGATGAAGTTGTCACTTAATTTATCTACTATTATGTCATTTTTAGTGCAAACAATTCTGAATTCAAAGAAAGTAAAATTTACCAATTTGTAGTAATTTCTAAAAAATAATTCAAGCAAGTATAGCTACATGTAATGACAAACATGATTGATGGATTCAAACTTAGCTTTGTAAAAATAAAAATATTTTTTTTAAAAATAGCTTTGTAAAAGATATGCAAAAAACTGCATCAAGGATACCAGGCTTGTTAATTTGTATGGCAGACACATGTTTTGTCTACAAAAGACTCTTCAGTGACGCTCAAATCAAGAAAGTTAAAAGGCCAAATAAAGTACGAAGCTGAAGAGCAATTTTTTCTTCAGTTGACAGAATAGAAAAGAGAGACTGGATGGGGTTTATAGAATAGAGAATAATGTGCAAAAAAAAATATATAGAATAGAGAAAAAATAGACTCAAGAGATAAAGATTAGAAAATACTGGTGTGCTAAAGTATGTTGGATAGAAAATAATGGGGAAAAGAATTGAAGAATAATGAAAAATGGCATAAGAAATCAAAGAAAACAGAAATGAAGGACCCCCATCCAGACCCTCAGAAAAGGTGGTAACTGTTCAATTGATTAACTAATTGTATGGTTTACATTCTAAGTTATATTTCTAGATGTTGTTGTTGAGATTTCTAAACCAAAGTTACACGTGAAAAAATATCCAGACAGAGTGTCAGTTGTGTGTTTATTTGACGTAAAAAACATCACTGTATCACAACATAAACCAACCTTCTCGGTAACCTGGATCAGGATCAGGAATGGTGTATCTACGATTATTAAGTTCAAGTTCCTGTCGGATACAAGAGACCAAGTGGTTCTGGGGAAAGATGTTCTCACAGGGGACTCAGTAAGTATATGTACCAAACATTGAATATCCTACAATAAAAAAGAGGCGGAAGATACCATTGGGATATTCAAAACTCACATATATCAAAGAAAAACTGACTACAACACCATGGCAAAAAATTTAAAACAATGAAAAGACGAAGAAATCCGAAAAATGCAGCATAGAAAACTAAATATTGAGCAAAAAAAACCCACCAAAAACTGGTGGTGAACTCAGGTGCACCCGTAGTTTTGCTCATGCAAGTACAAATCTGGTACATTTAAAAGGGGGGGGGTAAATTTACTCATTTATATATACATCTTATTATTAATTAAGACCTCTGTGGGTGAGTGGTCTAAGTAGTTCATTTTCAGAATCACTAGCCTGTCAACACTGAGGTTGCGAGTTAGAACCTGCACATGGCAGGTGGATTCCTATATGGTTAAATTTTTCGATCCGGTGTCATAGAAATCCCCAAAAATGATAAGGTTGATAATTCAATGGTATTTTAAAACTCATAGTAATTTTCTGTTTGAGCTTTTGATTTTGCCACTTGATATTGGGACTTTTACGTTTTGAATTTTCCTTGGAGCTCGGTATTTTTGTTATTTTACTTTTTTCTTTATACATTTTAGGTTGCATGTGAAGTTATGCCAGTCCATCAGAAACAAAGCAAATCTTCAGAGTTACTGTTCTTGGGAATACAGGTAAGAATTGGTGCCAGATCAAGATAATTCAGTGGAACCTGTGTAAAGTGACCACCCATATAAAAATAAGAAGATGTTGTATGATTGCAAATGAGACAACTCTCCACCGTAGACCAAATGTCTTAGAAGTTAGCGACTTCATGTCAGCGTATGGCTTTCAACAAACAAGCAAAATCAAAAGCTCATAGCAAGCTTTAAAAGGCTCCTTGATGATATTAAAAAGTGGTCGCTCAGATAGTTTTATGCAGTCACTTTATAATGTAAATTTTCTTAATGCGAATAATGCCGCTGAGTGAGTTTTGCAATAAAAAGAACTCACATTCTGATATCTGATACAGCTGTTCCTGAAATCGCAATAATTTATCTCAACGTTATGGTTGGTCATGTCAAAATCACAATAATAATTGCTCACAATAATTTCTGAATTCAGAAAAAATAAATGAGATGTAGGTACATGTAAATGTCAATGAGAAAATTTTAAACACAACATATAACTTGACAATTGAATACATGAAGAGCTACATACAAGTATATGACAAAAAGGGACCTGAAAAAAAGCTAATTTCATCTGAGGTCTACTTTGCCTTAGGGATTTGAATATAGTGTATTCAATTTTAATTGAAAGAAAAAGATTTTTAAAGGACTTTCAAACTTTTATTGTCTTAATTCTTTATTCTAATATGATGTCTTCTTTCGCTTTGGAAACAAAGCCATGTTCTAATTAGAATAAAACATGGGCTGCACGTGATTGACTTCACAATTGAAATTGCAACGTCAGTTGTATTTTAAACAAAGCTGGAGATCAAAATGGACATTTGTGTTGGTGTTGTTTGCTAGGAAATTAAATAAAATCATTATAAAAGTAAGTTTACATGTATCTGTTCATTTTTTTATCGTGAAATGGTTAATTTTTTATATTGTTTTGCCTTCATCAAATCAAAATGGATCCCTTTGAAACAGCTATGATAGGTCTGCTTCAGAGGATAAAAGTTCTAAATTTTCCTATTAGAATCAAAATAATTCTATCATGACAAATATACTGCCTACCCATGATAAAATGAGCATAGAGCATGGCATGAAAGAATTATTTCTTAATTTTAAAAACATTATATTGATATAAAACTGTTTAAAACTTCTCATATTGTAACTGATTTATAGCGATCACAATAATGAATGCAACAATTATCTTCTGAATATACAGTTTTGATTGTTTTTTTTATTTATAAAACTAAACTAAAGACTTTTTAAGTTTGTTTGTATTAACAGGTGATGGAGACAAATATAGTTTTACAAGAGAATGGACTACCAGAGACATTAACTTTTGTGTCAACAGTTCCATTAACATGTGAAAAGGAGAAGTGTAAACTGGACATGGTCTTAACAGTTAAATATCCAAGAGGTTAGGATCTGTTTTGTCCGTTAGAATCGTTAACACTTCTTGTACAAGTCAGTTTTATAAATGTTTTCTTTGTTGTAAAGTTAAGGTGGTTTCATAACACTACAAGGAGATAACTCTGTAAAAATCAGCTGAACGCTTTAATCACGTTCTATTGCTAAGGAAATATTAAGCTTCTCAATGATCGAAATTAGTGTTTGTCAAACTGCTATATATCCAATGAAATTTTTCCGATAAAGTGTGTGGTTCAAGTTTTTTGAAATTTTTATATTTTTGTCAAAGGGTCAAAGTAAATACTTTGTCAAAATTTTATGAAAATTAAACTAGCCAATTTAATTTTAGTCGAGCTTTTTGGTACCACCTTAAATCATATAAAATTGTGTTTTTGTAACAGATAAATGAAACTGAGTCAACTGTGGATAATCTTTACACAAGAGTAATTAGATTCTTAAATATAGACACTTTTCTTTCTTCATGGTAACTGGGGGCTTGGTGGCCGAGTGGTCTAAGTAGTCCAACTACTGTATCACTAGCCAGTCAACAGTTAACACTGAGGTTTTGAGTTTGATTCCCGCATGGGGTAGGTGCACTCGACTCCAATCCAATCTTAATTGACTAGGATTATCAGTTTTCCTACGGAGGTCGGTGGTTCTCTGCAGGCACTCTGGCTTCCTCCACCAATAAAAACTGACCACCAGGAAATAGCACAATAGTGTTGAAAGTGGCATTAAACACCAATAAATCAATCTTCATAGTAACTCATTGTTTACATAAGCCTTGATAGCCAAGTGGTCTAAGTAATTCATCTATAGCAATCACTCGCTTGTCAACACTCAGGTTGTGAGTTAGAACACCACTCATGGCAGGTGCATTTGACTCCTATCTTAATTAACCAGGAATGCCAGTTTACCTGCCAAAGGTCATTGTACTCTCCGGGTTCTCTGGCTTCCTCCTCCAATAAAAAAACTGGCCACTATGATATAGCCGATCAATTATTTTTAAAAGAGTTATGACCCTTGGAAACATTAATTATATCAAAAATTGCATCGTTAGCGCTCTCATTTGTACAATTCTTGCCAGATTTTTATGAAACTTATATCATAGGTTTATATTAGCAATGTCTTGGATGAGTTCGAAAATCAGTGTCGATCAATTATTTTTAAAAGAGTTTTGCCCCTTGGAAACATTATTTATATGGAAAATTGCATTGTTAGCACTCTCATTTGTACAATTCTTGCCAGATTTTTATGAAACTTATATAATAGGTTTATATTAGCAATGTCTTGGGTGAGTTCGAAAATCAGTGTCGATCAATTATTTTTAAAAGAGTTTTGCCCCTTGGAAACATTAATTATATGGAAAATTGCATTGTTAGCGCTCTCATGTGTTCAATTCTTGCCGTATTTTTATGAAACTTATATCATAGGTTTATATTAGCAATGTCTTTGACGAGATCGAAAATCAGTGCCAATTAATTATTTTTGAAAGAATTATGCTCCTTGGAAATATTATTTATATTGAAAATTGCCTTATGACTGCTCTAATGTGTACAATTCTTGCCAGATTTTTTTGAAACTTATATCATAGGTTTATATTAGCAATGTCTCTGTTGAGTTCGAAAATCAGTGCCGATCAATTATTTTTAAAAGAGTTATGTCCTTGGAAACATTAATTATATAGAAAATTGCATTGTTAGCGCTCTCATGTGAACAATTCATGCCAGAACTTTATGAAACTTATATCATAGGTTTATATTAGCAATATCTTGGTTGAGTTCGAAAATCAGTGCCGATCAATTATTTTTAAAAGAGTTATGTCCTTGGAAACATTAATTATATAGAAAATCAGTGCCAATCAATTATTTTTGAAAGAATTATGCTCCTTGAAAATATTATTTATATTGAAAATTGCCTTATGACTGCTCTAATGTGTACAATTCTTGCCAGATTTTTATGAAACTTATATCATAGGTTTATATTAGCAATATCTTGGTTGAGTTCGAAAATCAGTGCCAATCAATTATTTTTAAAAGAGTAATGTAATTAATTATATAGAAAATTGCATTTTTAGCGCTCTCATGTGAACAATTATTGCCAGAATTTTATGGAACTTAAATCATAGATTTATATTAGCAATGTCTTTGACGAGATCAAAAATCAGTGCCGATCAATTATTTTTAAAAGAATTATGCTCCTTGGAAATATTATTTATATTGAAAATTGCCTTATGAGTGCTCTAATGTGTACAATCATGCCAGATTTTTATGAAATTTATATTATAGGTTTATTTCATCATGGTCTTTGATGAGTTCAAAAATCAGTGTCGATCAATTATTTGTAAAAAGAGTTATGCCCCTTGGAAATATTGTTTATATGAAAAATTGCATTGTCAGTGCTCTCATGTGTACAATTATTGCCAGAATTTTATGAAACTTATATCATAGATTTATATCAGCAATATCATTCACACTTTTTAGAATAAGTCGATCAAATATATTTAACGAGTAATGCCCCTTGAAAATATTAATTATAATGGAAATCACATTGCATACTTTGCTCTTCTAAGATATTAATAAAAAGTTGCTTAATTTAGCTCACCTTTCCGAAGGAAAAGTGAGCTTTTGCCATCACTTGGCATCCGTCGTCATCGTCCGTCCGGTGTAAACTATTTCAAACATCTTCTCCTCTGAAACTACTGAACCAATTCCAACCAAACTTAAGCTGAATGATCCTTAGGGTATCTAGAATAAAGTTTGTGTTTTATTTTCTGTTTTGTCAAAAAACATGGCCACCATGGCTAAAAATAGAACATAGGGGTAAAATGCAGTCCTGAAATTTTCAGATGAATCTAACAACTCATTGTTGGGTTGCTGCCATCAAATTGGTAATTTTAAGGAAATTTTGCAGTTTTTGGTTATTATCTTGAATATTATTATAGATAAAGATAAACTGTAAACAGTAAACAGCAAAAATGTTCAGCAAAGTAAGATCTACAAATAAAACTGCTGAATCAATTTCAGCCAAACTTGGGCTGAATGAGTTTCAGAGTATCTAGTATAAATTTTGTATTTTATTTCCTTGTACGTCAAGAAACATAGCCACTATGGTTAAAATGGAACATAGTGGTAAAATGCATTTTTTTGCTTTTGAAGAAAATATGACAGATACAAAGAACATTTAAATGTCATTTTTAAGCCACTCATTAATATATATTGAAAATTAAAAATAATCATTGATGAAAGATTTAAGCAAAAAATTACAGGTGAGCCATTCAGGCTCTTGAGAGCCTCTTGTTAGTTATTACCCTTTCACCTTGGATAGATAAAATATGTAACGCCGTAGAGGAGGGGGCATTTAGTGTTACCCATTTCGTCCGTCCGTCCCTTCTGTCCTGTCTGTCCTGTCTGTCCTGTATGTCCCAAAAATTTGTATCCGTTCTCTAACTTTAGTTTGCCTCAACCAAATTTTATAAAACTTATACCCAATGCTTATTACCACAAAACACAGACCAAGTTCGAAATTGGGTGGCGTCACTTTTAATGTTCATGAGGTATGCCCCTTTATAAACATAAAAATTGCTGAAGTTTTCGTTCTCTTACTTCAGTTTGCCTCAACCAAATGTTATAAAATTTACACACAATGTTTATTAGCACAAAACACAGATCAAGTTTGAAATTTAGTGGAGTCACTTTTTCCGTTCTTGGGTTATGCTCCTTTATAAATGGAAAAAATTGCTAAATCTGTCGTTTCCATTCTCTAACTTTAGTTTGCCTCAACCAAATGTTAAGAAACTTATACATAATGCTTATTACCACTAAACACAGGTCAAGTTTGAAATTGGGTGGCATCACTTTTTCCGTTCTTGAGTTATGCTCCTTTATAAATGGAAAAATTGCTAAATATGTCGTTTCCGTTCTCTAACTTTAGTTTGCCTCAACCAAATGTTATGAAGCTTATACACAATGCTTATAATCACAAAACGGTCTTAACTTCATGAATCTTGCATCTGTATGTGGAAGATGACTCATAAAATTGAGAATGGAAATGGGGAATGTGTCAAAGAGACAACAACCCGACCATAGATCAGACAACATATTTACAGAGGGGGCATCTGTGGCCCATAGACACATTCTCTATTTATTTAGTGTAAAAAAATAATCATATTGTTTTTTATACATTTGGTAATTCAATAAGTTTGTGGAATGGTGAATTCTGTTAACTAATTTTATCTTTCTAATTCTAGGGAACACACTATCAAATGTTTTACTATCCGGTTGTCTCCTAGAGTTCCGTCCTAATGACAGATGTCAAGGTATTGGATGCATCACACAACAGGTCAAGATTGCAATGATCCCTAATCTTTACACTTTAAATGTCAAGGACATTCATATATCTGGCTATCTGTATGTTGATGAACAGATCATGTGGAATCAAGACACTGTACAGGCAAAGGTAAATTAATGTCGGGGTTTTATGGCAATATGACCTTTCAACTTCAGCATATTTTGTCAGTTTGCTAATTTTTGATACTTTTAATCTAAGATTTTAACAAAAACAACTATATTTAAAGTTAGATATTAAAAGATTATAGACTGACTCCCCCCCTGTCCTTAATCTATTTGACTCAGATACCTACAAGCCATATAGACATTCTTTTACTTTTTATCACCCTGGAAATTATACAAATTTTTGCAGAAAAGTGTTGTTACAGCTCTGTGACATGACAAGTGACAGTTTTAAACAAAATTTCTGGTAAATATTTTCAAAGAGTTTATGTACATTTAAAGTTTTTGCTAGAATTCCTACTTCAAAATGAATATTGAATTATAAACTTTGAAAAGGGAGATAACCTACCTAAGAAGAAGACTGATGCAACTGTGTTAGAAGTAAACTCAACCATGTTTAAAATTACCTTGAAAGTTCATTTTCGGAAGACAAATGAGGATGGTTAGAGGGCTTCCTCAACTTCCAATTATTTTTGGAAAACTATTAGTTATCTCTTTTAATTAAAACTCAGGGGGGGGGGTCACTTTCTATATACAAGGTGATGGGATGTGCCGCTGGAATAGGTCACATTTTCCAGCCAAAAGTCTCGTGGTAAGTTAACATTACATAAGGAATCTGAGCCTCAAATCTGAGCTCTAAGCAAAGGCAAAATTTTTCGCGATTTTGCAGGAATGTGATTCTTGTTCTGTGGACTCGTAATTAAAATATGGGAAAAGATTACTTTTTTACCTACGCAATATATGAAAAGGAATACATTTTAAAAATCTAAATCATATGAAAAGGGTGGGGTAACAGAACCCCTGTGACACCCCTAATCAATTAAGTATTGAAGTGGCTCCTGAGGATTAGAATACGACTTGTAAATAGATTTTACTCTGTTAGTTCCTTTACAGATTATAGAATATTATTATCTTCATAATCAAAGTAAAATATTGGAAAATTGATCGCTTGGCTCTCATGTGCAAAGGAGAAGGTCCGTCAAGGGCTTATCTTGGCCTAAAATTTGAAGTACATCTGATGTAACATTTGTGACATTTTTTAAACACTTAAGTGTCTTCCTCAGTTGATTCAATTAGTTTATGTAAAAGATTTGAACTCATTTGGTCATTAAAGATGCCTAAATTCAGGCTCTGTGTTGAAAACCGTACTTTGTCCTATAATGGTTTACTGTTATAAATTTTGACTTGGATGGAGAGTTGTCTCATTGGCACTCATACCACATCTTCTTATATCTATTAAATATGAAAAATCTTTCAAATATGCCACAAAACATCACTTTTCAGATGGTTTTTGTCTAAAATGGAAGTGGCCGCATTCGTGTTCAGTCTCAACCTTTATATATATTATGTATCATCATCAAACAAAACATATATTTAAATATTAAGACTGAACACAATTACCGCCACTTCCATTTAAGACAAAAACTTTCTAAAAATTAGCACAAATGCTGAAATTGTGAAGATTTCAGTAATTTTGCATGAATTAATGATGCTAGTACCTGATAAATGTGCAGTGTAAAGTCAAAAACAGTCTATATTTATGTAATAAAAGTATTCTACTTTCCAATAAATAGCTAAAAGTTAACATTTTTAACAAATTTTTGAAATGCTATATTTTGGAGCCAAAAAGGGGTCTTACTCCTTTTTTTATGTACTTGTAAATTCAAAACAAAACAAATTTTTCAGTAAGCATGCTCAGTACTCGTGTAATAAAGTTTTCTTTAAGATATGATTGCACAATAAAAGAGATACTGAGACTATCTGAAAAACTTATATGAGTGAAATTTAAAATAGTTTTTTGTTTTTAATATATAGAAATAAGAAGATGTGGTATGAGTGCCTATGAGACAACTCTCCATCCAAGTCACAATGTGTAAAAAGTAAACAATGCTGTTGTCTGTTCTATGGTCGGGTTGTTGTCTCTTTGACACATTCCCCATTTCCATTCTCAATTTTAATTATAGGTCAAAGTACGGCCTTGAACATGGAGCCTTGGCTCACACCGAACAGCAAGCTAAAAAGGGACCCAAAATGACTAGTGTAAAACAATTCAAACAGGGAAACCAACAGTCTAATCTATATATAAAACGAGAAACGAGAAACACTTAAGAATGCTTACAAGACTAAATCATAATGTTATTTAAGGATGTTCACTTCTCTTGTTTATGAATTTTTGCCAGATATTCGGAATCCTCTGGTTTTATCCATGTAATGCCATTAAAAATTTTGCCCGCTAACCCCTACTTTTCTTTTCATAATTTTATTACATATAGTTTGAAAAGCCATATTTGAAAATCTTATCAAAATCCTCGTTATTTTTTTATACGCTTGTCAAAATTTTGAGGGGACGTATTATGGTATACAAATGTCGTCTGTCCGGTGTAAACATGTTGTACCGTAACTTGAGAACGACTAATCCAAATTTCATGAGACTTAACACAGTTGTTTCTTATGATGGTCAAACGATCTGTATACTTTTTGGTGAAAATAAGATTAAAACTTTTTGAGTTACGGGACTTAGTAACTAAAACAGGTGTGTGTTTTTTTTCACATATCTCAAAAAAAATTTATGATTATTGCTTAAAACTTTACACACTTCTTAGTTATATTAATCTTAAGATCTGTATACTTTTTGGTGATGATTCAAAATTTTATTTTTGAGTTATTGAGTATTTTGTAAAAAAAGGGGAGGGGTTTTACACATGTCGCGCCGTATCTCAAAAACGATTTATGATTATTGCTTAAAATTTTACACACTTCTTAGTTATATTAATCTAAAGATCTGTATACTTTTTGGTTTTGATTCAAATTTTTTTTTAGAGATATTGATATCTTTTTTTTAAAAAGGGGGGTTTTCACATGTCGCACCGTATCTCAAAAATGATTTATGATTATTGCTTAAAATTTTACACACTTCTTAGTTATATTAATCTAAAGATCTGTATACTTTTTGGTTTTGATTCAAAATTTTATTTTAGAGATATTGAGTTTTTTTGTAAAAAAAAAAGAGGGGTTTTCGCATGTCACGCCGTATGTCAGAAACTTTTTATGATTATTGCATAAAAATTTACACACAAGAAGACAGGCGTATCATGCGCTCATGGCGCAGCTGACTATTCATAGTTTTTGAAAGAAAAAAGATGCCAATGTTAAATGTAAGAAAAATCTAGAAAGAATAATTTCCCGCCAAATTTTAAATAGCTTATATCTCGAAAACAAGCACACGGACCCTTAATTTTTTTTAGCTTTTTTAGTTCCTTTATTTATATGCTATCAATTAATAACAGTCTTATAGAAAGCTTGTTATTTTGAAACAGAGTAGCGAACATCCTTAAGTCTTATATATATTTGTATTGATGTTAAATGTGTTTATGTCTCAGAAGTACTTTTTAAGGGGTCAAGGTTTCAAAACAGAAGTCTTCCCAGTTTATTGAATAAAGTTATGACGATTTAATTGTATTATTTGTAGATAAAAGTGATAGATCTGCCATCAGCTTCCTGTTACATGACTGCTGGTGTATTTATTTTGTCATTCCAGAACAAGTAAGTAAACCCAATCTCAAATATTTCTTTTATACATCATTTATATATTTATTCATCAAAAAGTATGCATATGAATAGACAGAAACAATTTGAGGTACAAAGTTATTGAGATGGAAACCAAACAACATTATGGAAACAGAGAGCTACACATGTATCATCTTCAATATTTGTTTTTATCGTAAAATTGGTCAAGATCTAAATGCCTTACCTTAAGTGTTACACCAGTTAACTATCATGAACACCCAATTTCTTGATGGACAAAACACTTTTAATATAAAAACAACCTAAACCACAGAGTGTACTCCTTACTAGGTACACACTAATTTGCATGAATAAAACTAGTGTTTTAAAGAACTGAAACTCTCCCCATTTTTATCATGAATAGTGATTCTTATATGATTTTGGTTTTAACTCAATAAATTTGGTAGAATGTCTGAAATTGCCTTTGAAATAAAAGTGGATATCCATAATATTGTATCATTTTGACCTTTATATTTATGTTTGCAGTATGTCTAAATTATCTAGAAGAGGAACATACATCCTTCTGAAGAGCAGAAATAATGAGTTTGAGGTAAGTATGTTTTTTTTAAAGTATTTTCCTTGTTATAAATTAACATTTAGTTTCTAGTCCTGATTTTTACATGCTGTCAATTTAATTTTTTTGTGGGTTACCAATTTTATTAGATTTCGTGGGTATGGGTGAACCACGAATTTAAATGTTCAATGAAGTACTAATTTACTATTAGTGTAAATGCAGAATTTGGTAAAAACCGTGAAATCCAATAACCTCAAAAAATTTGTTTTCCTCAATCTACGAAAAAAAAAAAAAGAAATGAATCTACAGTATGTGCTTACTTGGTAGAAGGAAAATTGGATATATTTGAGTTGTTCTGTTAGAAAAATAAGTTCTGTTCTCCACCACAGATATAGCCTGTGTTTAAAATTCTTGACATTTGACATGTATTTCTAATAAAAATTTTGAACATTAAATGCACATCACTCAAGTTAATCTGCACATCTCGCAGATTTCACAAATCTATGTTGTCTTCTTTAACAGATTCAGATACGAGTGAACAGCTGTCCAGATGAAAATTTACTTTGTGTTTGTGGTGCTGCTATCTATTACAAGGAGACTAAACTGATCATTGATAAATGTAGGTCAACTGATAAGGAAGGGGACATATTTATACAGTATCACCCTGCCATGAGGGCTAACATGAAGATATTTGAAGGACGGCATGGGAGATTGATATATGTAAGTTAAATTACATAAAAAAAAATCTTAACAATTGGTGGTTCTCTCCGGGCACACTGGCATCCTCCACCAATATAAACTGACCTCTACAATATATATAGCCAATAATGCTGAAAGTGGTGTTAAACATCTACAATCAATCAAGCAATCAAGCCAAAGTTTTAGAAGTCTTATAAAAACAGCAAATACTAAAAACAATGTTACTAAAATCAACATTCAGAATGGGATGCAAAATATAGACTTGTAGGACTAAAGTTTGCAGAAAAAAGTTTGAAAATAAAAATCATATTTTTATCAAAATAGTATCTTAAAGCATCTTTTTTCCTTCAGATTGTTTTGGACGGTAAAGCTCAGTTACGAATTGACCTTCGACACAAAAGTATGACCTTGACTGTACAGTCATCAGGATATTTTACTGACAGGATGGATGGGTTGTGTGGTCAGATTGGTAATAATACATGGTACTATAGTAACGATGTACAAACTAGTCAGCCTCTTGTTGATTGGAGGTAAGTTACACAGTCAGTAATTATAGATCCATATAAGGTGTTGCCATCATTGTATTGTCAGTCTACATCTTCTTATATCTGAGTGGCATCAGCCACGAAGATACAAGTTGACTGCATCTGATGTGAAAAAGGTGACTTTACCTTAAGGATGTTCGCTGCTCTAGATCTGTTTCAAAAAAATAAGCTTTCAAAAAGACATATATTGATAGCAAATAAATAAAGGAACTAAAAAAGCCCAAAAAAATTAAGGGATCGTGTGCTTGTTTTCCAGATATAAGCTATTGAAAATTTGGCGGGAAATGAATCTTTCTAGATTTTTCTTACATTTAACATTGTCACCTTTTTAGCTCACTTGACCTGAAAGGTCAAGTGAGCTTTTCTCATCACTTTGCGTCCGTCGTCTGTCGTCCTGCGTCCGTCGTCCGTCGTCCGTCGTCCGTAAACTTTTACAAAAATCTTCTCCTCTGAAACTACTGGGCCAAATTTGACCAAACTTGGCCACAATCATCATTGGGGTATCTAGTTTAAAAAATATGTCCGGTGACCCGGCCAACCAACCAAGATGGCCGCCATGGCTAAAAATAGAACATAGGGGTAAAATGTAGATTTTGGCTTATATCTCTGAAACCAAAGCATTTAGAGCAAATCTGACATGGGGTAAAATTGTTTATTAGGTCAAGATCTATCTGCCCTGAAATTTTCAGATGAATCGGACAACCTGTTGTTGGGTTGCTGCCCCTGAATTGGTAATTTTAAGGAAATTTTGCCGTTTTTGGTTATCATCTTGAATATTATTATAGATAGAGATAAACTGTAAACAGCAATAATGTTCAGCAAAGTAAGATCTACAAATAAGTCAACTTGACCAAAATGGTCAGTTGACCCCTTAAGGAGTTATTGCCCTTTATAGTCAATTTTTAACCATTTTTCGTAAATTTTTGTAATCTTTTACAAAAATCTTCTCCTCTGATCCTACTAAGACAAATTTAACCAAACTTGTCCACAATCATCATTAGGGTATCTTGTTTAAAAAATGTGTCCGATGACCCCGCCCGTGAACCAAGATGGCCGACATGGCTAAAAAATAGTACATAGGGTAAAATGCAGTTTTTGGCTCATATCTCTGAAACCAAAGCATTTAGAGCAAATCTGACATGGGAGTAAAATTGTTCATTAGGTCAAGATCTATCTGCCCTGAAATTTTCAGACCAATCAGGCAACACATTGTTGGGTTGCTGCCCCTGAATTGGTAATTTTAAGAAAATTTTGCAGCTTTTGGTTATTATCTTGAATATTATTATAGATAGAGATAAACTGTAAACAGCAATAATGTACAGCAAAGTTAGATCTACAAATAAGGCAACATGACCAAAATTGTCAATTGACCCCTTAAGGAGTTATTGCCCTTCATAGTCAATTTTTTACAATTTTCATAAATTTTGTAAATTTTTGTAAATTTTTACAAAGTATTTTCCACTGTATCTACCGGGCCAAGTTCATTATAGATAGAGATAATAGTAAGGAGCAAAAATGTTCAGTAAAGTAAGATCTACAAACACATCACCATCACCAAAACACATCACCATCACCAAAACACAATTTTGTCATGAATCCATCTGTGTCCTTTGTTTAATATGCACATAGACCAAGGTGAGCGACACAGGCTCTTTAGAGCCTCTAGTTTCTTTCAAAAACTATGAAAAAATAACAAGAATTTTACAAGATTTTCAAATATGGCTTTGTAAACTATATGTTATCAAATTATGAAAAGAAAAGTAGGGGTCAGTGGGCAAAATTTTTAATGGCACTACATGGATAAAACCAGAGGATTCCGAATATCTGGCAAGAATTTAGAAACAAGAGGAGCGTCAACATCCTTAAATCTACTTGAGTTTCCCTAAGCAGTTCGGCTATAAAACCTTAACAGCTCTTCCTAAAGTTGGAATAGAATAGACTAGTTGCAAGAAAATTCATTAAAACCTATGTAAGCTCGGTTTTAATTCCAGAAATTCCTTTAATTATGACATGCATGACATAGCTACAGTTATCTTTTCATGGAATGTGATAAAATCTGTCATGTTGGTCTTTCTTAAGACATCTACCTCGGCAATACAAAGGTCAGACATCTTGGATATTTATAAATCTCATATCTAGCTGAATTGAATGTGTGCTGGCCTCTATTGAGGAGCTTATGGGTTCTCAATGCCCACCAGATCAAACCAAACAATTCAAAATTTAAATTTGCCGCATCTCTGCTAAGCATGCTGCAGTTACTCATCATAAAAGAATTTTATGAAATTATTTGTCTGTAAAACATATTGATAATATTACTAATAATTTTTACAGTAGTAACACATAGCGATCTTATCTAAGTGATATTTTTTAGATTACTTCCTGGTCTTAGTTTGTTTGAGAATTATGAACTCTTATCAATGACCTTGACCCCTCAAATGCCAGAATGTGATTGTTCCCTGTCGTCATATGAGACTTCCTGTCCAAAATCATCTACTGCAATACCACAGTTTTTATTTCATCTGAAAGAGACCACATTCTATTGGATAAACAAAACTCAAGGAACCAATCAAATACCAGATTACATGTTTGAAGGAGATTTTGATGATGAAGAAATTGAAACTAAACAGCCTGTTAAAGATGGTCAGCTTGCAAATGACAGTTGTAAAAATATGTTTATGACTTCAGGGATTGCCAAAACGTGCTTAAATAAAATAAGAATTGATATAGATACAGTGATGAATATCTGTGTTGCCTTGGCAACCTCATATCAAAATTCAACATGGGTGCCAGAGGTTCTACGTTTGTTAGAAAATTTATGTGAAACACAATTGAATAAAAGATCAAATATGACTGATTTGGGAGAACTTGCTGATGTGAATATTGAGGACATTCGTCAAGCAATTCTTTGTCCTGAAGGTTGCTATGGAAATGGCATTTGTATAGAAAATGGATGTTTTTGTTACCAAGGATACTCTGGTATAGAATGTCTCACTAAAACAGGTAAATATTTTATATTTATTCAGCTTCAAGTAGCTAAAATAAGGTAAATGTTCTAGTTCAAACATAGATAAAAGTTGGAGATATCCATATTTTAAGTTTGGGACGTAAAAAATATGTTTTACTGTCACAAATCGAGTTTGCCCTAGTAACATGTTTCAGAGCTGGGTAAGTGGATATTTGCAGCAATTAAACCGATTTTTATGTTAGCAAAATTACTGAAAGATTTTGTCTTGGTTTTTGTGAGGAATAAAGGAGTCCTTTCTACAGTTCCACATCTATTTTAATGAAATAGAACATATGGTAACAATTTAATAAAACTTATTCAAAAAGAGTTGCGATAGATACAAAAGGGACATTCAAACTCATAAGTTAGAAATAAACTGACAAAGCTATTATAAAAAGATTTTTTTGTTGTGAAAATTTCTACCACAGAAGTTACAACCACCACAAGTTCTACTACCATGCCAACAACCTCCAGTACCACGACCTCTACAACTACCACAACCAGCACAACACTACCACCTACAACTACAACAACTGTTACCACAACAACAACAACTCCAACAACTGTTATAACTACAACAACAACTCCATCAACAACCACTTCATCATCAACAGAAATGTCAACAACAACTGAAGTTCCTGTATCCATGGTTACCTGTGATACAAGATCCTCACATTGTAGTACAGTTCATGTTGATTTGTTACGGTCCGGTGAATTTGTAACAAAATGTAATGTGACACTAATGCAGGTATTTATTAATAGCATTAACTTAGAATCTTAGGTGTAGGGTTAGGGTTAGTAGAGGATTCAAGAAGTAAACCACATCAGTGGTCTTTTGGTAATGTGGGGTTGGTCCTTGGTTCGTTCCCTAGCCATGCAGTTAACTAAAAGACTTAAAATTTGGTACCCTAAGCATGTAGCATTTAAAAGTAGGAGCAATAACTGTCAGACAAGTGTCAGAATAACGAGTTGAGGTAGAGTGAAATGTCATCCTTAGGACTGTTATTATGTGAACTAGCACTTTAAAAATCAACCTCAGAGAGGTGGTTTTGTACAGATAAGGGTTTATAATATATGCATGTGATATTTGACACTGGATGTTAAAAAACAATTTGCCCATCCACCCATCAAGGAGTCCATGTTTAGTATTATTCCACAGGGAGTGAGTTGTGGAGGGAATTATGTTTTTGTCCTGTCCATTTATCTGTTAGTCTATCCTTTTGTTATCCCTTTGCTGTTGCCATGCTAGCACCTTTATTTTTTCTCAGATCCCCTTGCAATTTGAAGGAAAATTTCCTCTCAGCAAATCCAAATTAAAAATTCCCTTAGTTCTTTCATTTAAGGTAGATCATAAGTATTTTTTGAGATAGAATTTTCTTATACTTTGCCAAAATGAAGATTTTATTATGCTTTTTTCACAGATATAATAAAAAGTATGGGTCACCGTGATATTTTCCAAGCTATGAGTCGTTGAAAATTGCCTAAATTTGGTTAGATTGTTCATGAAAAAACACATTTGTGTGCATAAAAAAAATTCTATGAGATAGAATTTTGAGATTAATTGTGAGAATATAGGTTTTATAATATGTTTTAAGAAAATATAAAGAAAAAATGGTGTCAACAAACTTGTTTTCTTGCTTCAAGTAAAAATAAAAAATTTCCCTATCAGTCCAGTATATATTCTTTACTAAAAGAGTTATCTCCCCTTAAATGGCTTATTTGAAAAAAATGATTCTAAAAACACAAAATGTGATATTTGATTAAATATTTTGTATAATACAATAAATTACCAAGTTTTCCTTATAAGAATAAACAGTCTAACCATTAAATTGCAAATCTGTCTCCAAATTTGCAGATTTGGGCAAATAACTTGACCGATTTTGTACTGCGATTGTACAGTCCAAGATGGTGGTATACCATGTATCTACCTTAAACATAATTGGGATTGCTGTTTATACGTTCTATTTAAAGAAACATCAACACCAATCTTGTTATTGTGTTTTTAGGCATCATTTAATACAATTTTGAAACTAGACTTCAGTAGTCTGATTCAGTTGATATTAAATGAATATAAAGATGGTTGTCTGGCACAAAGTTATGGCAACTTGTTCATACTGGCTTTAAATATTCTGCAGTTTAAAATGTTCAGATTTAAAACAGATGTTATTGTATAAGATACTGATATAATATACTGTGGATTCATTTATTTTTGTGAGTACCAATTTTTGTGGATTCAGTAAAAATTGTATGACCGTGGATATTTGATTTTGTTGTTTTAGCCAAATTATGTAAACAAGCCTATAGCAAATTTGTAGTTTGTTGAACATTGAAATCCATGAAAATTTCTATCCCACAAAATTCATGTAAATTTCTATATCCCACAAAATCCACGAAAATTTCTATCCCACAAAATCCATGAAAATTTCTATATCCCACAAAATCCATATGAAAATTTCTATATCCCACAAATCCATGAAAATTTCTATCCCACAAAATCCATGAAAATTTCTATATCCCACAAATCCATATGAAAATGTCTATCCCACAAAATCCATGAAAATTTCTATATCCCACAAATCCATATGAAAATTTCTATCCCACAAAATCCATGAATATTTCTATATCCCACAAATCCATATGAAAATTTCTATCCCACAAAATCCATGAAAATTTCTATATCCCACAAATCCATATGAAAATTTCTATCCCACAAAATCCATGAAAATTTCTATATCCCACAAATCCATATGAAAATTTCTATCCCACAAAATCCATGAAAATTTCTATATCCCACAAATCCATATGAAAATTTCTATCCCACAAAATCCATGAAAATTTCTATATCCCACAAATCCATATGAAAATTTCTATCCCACAAAATCCATGAAAATTTCTATATCCCACAAATCCATATGAAAATTTCTATCCCACAAAATCCATGAAAATTTCTATATCCCACAAATCCATATGAAAATTTCTATCCCACAAAATCCATGAAAATTTCTATATCCCACAAATCCATATGAAAATTTCTATCCCACAAAATCCATGAAAATTTCTATATCCCACAAATCCATGAAAATTTCTATCCCACAAAATCCATGAAAATTTCTATATCCCACAAAATCCATGAAAATTTCTATCCCACAAAATCCATGAAAATTTCTATATCCCACAAATCCATATGAAAATTTCTATCCCACAAAATCCATGAAAATTTCTATATCCCACAAAATCCATGAAAATTTCGATCCCACAAAATCCATGAAAATTTCTATATCCCACAAATCCATATGACAATTTCTATCCCACAAAATCCATGAAAATTTCTATATCCCACAAATCCATATGAAATTTCTATATCCCACAAAATCCATGAAAATTTCTATCCCACAAAATCCATGAAAATTTCTATATCCCACAAAATCCATGAAAATTTCTATCCCACAAAATCCATGAAAATTTCTATATCCCACAAATCCATATGACAATTTCTATCCCACAAAATCCATGAAAATTTCTATATCCCACAAAATCCATGAAAATTTCTATCCCACAAATGATAATGAATCCACAGTGAGATAGAACTATTAAACAATGTTTAAATATTTCAGTTCACACAATATGGCTGGGAACCAGTTGGAGATGTTTATACAACTTTACTACGTTATGTTGACAGCACAACTGTAGAATGTATGTTACCAAGGGTTACCAGAAGTGATGAATTTGTCAATGTGTACAGAGTTCAGGTAAATTTATAATTGTTTGAAGGAAAAAAGTTAATTCAAAATAACAAAGTGTTGTTGTCATAGCTGTATCTTACATCATGTCAGTTTTTAACAGAATACTATAAATTCAGAAATTATTTTGAACATTTATTATTGCAATATTTGAAGAATGGACAAAAATGTGAGATTGATTATTGAGATTTCAGGAAAATCTGCATACAGATATACATAAAAGATATCAGAATGCAAGTTCTTATTATTGCGATTCAACCAGTTGCATTATCGCATTAATAAAAATCTCACAACAATTTATAAATTTACAGAATAGGCATGTGTAATACATGTACATAGCTCAACACAAACTGAAAAACTAAACTTTTGTTTCATGGGGTAAAATTAATGTAAAGGAGAGAACCCAACTATACTTTCCTATACGAAATTACATAGAGACAGCTGCATATTGGACATTTTGTTTTTTTAATTTTAGATACCAAAAGGTGACAATATAGTGTTAAGGACACAAGTAGTTGCTGTTATTGACGGTCTTTGTCAGATGTGTGATATCTACGGAGGATGTATGATGAGAGTGAGTAGTGTGATACAGAAATCAAACTACATTAATATGTAGCAAAGTTTAACTAGTTTCAGTTTTCATAAGCCAAATCAATTCAACTTTCATGTAAAATAAAATATCTTGATGTATTCCAATTTCCAATCACACAAAAATAAGGAGATGTGGTATGATTACCAATAGACAACTATCCACCAAAGTTTAAATGAAGTGGATGTAAGCAATTATAGGCAACCGTAAGGCCTTCTACAATGAGAAAAACACATACCATAAGGTCGGCTATAAAAGGCCCCATCATAAAAATATGAAACAATTCAATTGAGAAAACTAACAGCCTAATTTTTAACAAAACAGTTTATGAAAAACAAATACGACTAATATGAAACAACGATAACCACTGAACTACAGGTTCCTGACTTGGGACAGGCACATAAAGAATGTGGTGGGGTTAAGCATGTTTGTGAGCACTCAACCCTCCCCCTAACCTGTATATGATGAGGGAATTAACTTCAGTATCAGTTTCAGATATCGTGGATATGTACATCTCAGTGTTGGATAGGAGTCAAGGGCTACAATGCATTCACCTTGTCCGTCCATTAGTTTGTACATCCATCAGTCATTCTGTCTGTCTGTTCATTCAACAAATATTTCCATCACACTTTTCTCAAGAACTGTTAACAGAATGACTTCATTAGAAAAACAAAGGATATGAGGTATCCATCCATGATACAAAATCAGTACATGCACAGCAAAAAAACACACAAAAAGCAAAGGAACACCACTTTTATTGCAGTGAAGCCTTCAACAAGTGCAAAAATTCTCACCTCCCTGCAAGTTTATGACGGCCCTAGCACTGGCTTGAACGGAATTCTCTGCAAAAATTATTTGGATAGACTTTGTAAGATGTAATATCACCTAATCAGGCCCGGTTGAAAAAAGAATATATTGGAAATAGTACATATTTAAAACAACATAGTTCCTTAGCACAGGTGTAAATCTTAAACTATGTATCATATATTTTAGTAATTAAGGTATCAAATGAAAGGTGAAGGACTGGAGTTTTGTCATGTTTAGTCAATAGTTTGACAGTTGTTCAAATTGGACATGAACAATCAAATTAACATTGTAAAAAAAAAGAGTTTTATTATTGGGAAACAACTCTTACCTGACACCTAAAATGACTTTTTTTTGTAAAATGTCATTAAGTGCAAGCACTTACAAGGCCTTAAGCTGGAAAAGCATTTTATAAAACAAATATATTAGAAAGTAGTAAAATGTAATCTTTTTATTTGTCCAAGAAATTTAGCAGTGGCGGATCCAGGGGTTGGAATCCTCTCTTTTTGTTTGACAACTAAAGCTTTTGTATGGGGACATATGGTTGGAACTCCCTTGTTATATGACTTGCATGTATTGGAACCCCCCGTTTTTCTAAATATGGCAGATCCACTCCTGTTTTGGTCATTCCTATTATCTTCCTCTTGTTGAATTAAATGAAAATAGAAAGAATATGAATTTATTATTGTAGCAAGGTACCTGTTTCATAGACAGAAGATGTTACAGAGATAAAGATATCAATCCAAGGAATGTTTGTTTGCAGTGCCTGACAACTAACAGTAAAAACACATGGTCTTCGAGAATAGGTAGAGTCAGACATCATTGAGCGTTTGTATTCATTTTTGCAGAAAAGTGTTTATCCAGTTGTTGTAAAATTAGAGGCAAAAGATACCACAGGGACATTTAAACTCATAGGTCGAAAATAAACTGACAACGGCATGGCAAAAAAAGAAAAAGACCAAAAGACAAACAAAAGTACACAAAATACAACATAGAAAACTAAAGACTGAGCAACTTGTAAATGTGTGTATTTGACCCCATCCGTAAAATTTTATGTATAGAAATGACAACATAGTCCATGTGTACATAATTTGATTTTACATAATTTTGTCAAAAGGAAAGTTTTCTATTTATTCAACATTGAATAAAAGGTAATGGATTTAAATACAACAATTTGAATTCACCTTGATTACACACAAAAATGATTCTTTGGACGTTTTTACAAGTTACTACTACTTTATTGTTGATTCTAATGCAACATCGTTTGTAATGTCACTTTGATTGGATAACGTCACCAATTTTCATGGTGTCAATTCACAATTGATGCTATGAAAACGTACACTTAAGTGCAGACGACATATAACAGATTTTAAATGTATGATTTGACGTTGTTTTCTGTCAGTTTCATTAGGGCTGTTCCAGAAAATACTATGTCCCCCCCCGAGTGACGGCACTTTTTTTTAACCCCCACCACCCACAGAAATAAAAATGAATTAGAACAACACTCCCTTTGCATTTTGGTATTTCAAATACAACCACCCAAATAAATTTAAAGAAAATTGCCTTTCCTGAGGGGGACATAGTATTTTCTTGAACAGCCCTTAGAATGGGGATAACAATATTGTATTTTAAGCTCCAACAGCATCAATTGGTGATTTGATGGTATCAAATACCTGTTTAATGGCTCCGCTAACATGTTGACGGTAAACTTAATTTACAACCATCAAATCACCAATTGATGCCGTTGGAGCTTAAAGTACAATACAGTCCCCTAATTATATTTTCAGACAATTTTCCTCCAATTTTGGAAAAAGACCAGTCTACTATTTCAGTCATTAATAGGGACACAATAAAGACTAATATAACAGCCAGAGATCCAGAAAACATGGATATCTACTATGGTATTGATGATGAGGGTGCTACAGTCAGTATGTTAGGAGAATTCATGTGGCATGTCCAGTTATCACAGCCAACCAAGAGGGGTGAACAATATAATTTTGTGATAAATGTTACTGACAGTTGTGGGGCATCTAGTACTTTTGTTTTAACAGTAAGTATTCATAAGAAACTTATTGAAACCTCTAACAGCAGGGATTGTGCTTGATTTTCATGTGATGACGACATAATCTTTCAATCAGTTTAATTAAGGTTTGAAGCTGTCATGTCAGTAACTGCTAGTAGTCCTTTCTTACTTTGTGTTGATCATTATCATTTTGCTTAGTTTATTCTGTTACCTATTCTTACATCTGACATGGACTTCGTTTGAACTAAGTTTTACTGTTGCGTTTTTTTCTGTGTGTTTGTTTATTCCACAATGGCTAGAGGTATGGGGGGAGGGTTGAGATCTTACAAGACATATGATATAATTGTATTGATGATTTCATTGTAGGTACTTGTAAATCAGTGTACCTGTCAAAATGGTGGACTTTGTGAGAATGAAGTTGTTACTAAAAATAGAACAGATTATAACTGTAGTTGTTCATCATCTTTCACAGGTAAATGTTATGAGAAAAGTTTCCGTTTGACTTTTTTATGAGTTGGCTTTTTTGCTCCTGTCTGGACAGTTTTGTTGCCAATTTAAATACATCCTGTATATTTTTATGTCTTGACTACAATTGTAGGGGGAATAATGTTTTCCAGGGACCGCGATGGGCTTCGCCAATGTCGTAAATTGCGAGTTTTTATTTTCATCTGGCGACAAAATAAGCTGCTGGCGATATTTCTGGCGCCAGCATTTTCCTTTGTTAAATTTTCATTTCTTGACTGTAACGGTAATATTATCATCTTTGTTTAAATTGGTAAAGTCAAAAAAATAATTGTACGAAAGTTTACCTGGCGACAAGTTTATGACTTTGTTTACGACCCCAAGCTCATCAAAGCCACAGTTACGACAGGTGTCATAATCTGTTGTTACAGGTAATCCGTTTATCAGTTGGGTTATAATGATCAGGTTCAAATAGAATCGGTCAGTCAGCATTTGTCATTTCATTTGAAGAAATTTTCATACGGCAACACAATTTGCAACGTTTACCGTAGTTTCATGAAGAAAACGTAATTGACAGAAAGACAAAAACCATAACAAGCTTGTTAAAAAACATCGTTTTACTTGTATTCCGTAAAAAATGGTAAATTCAGACGTAATTTGTCTTTGTTTGCCCTCACTTTTGATACGAAAATAACAAAACCGGCCGCCATTGTTGATCGTATTTACTTCTACTGCGTACTGTGTATAATCCTCCAAAGAAGGAACACACCAGAATAAAGAAAGATATCTCAATTTTATTTTTTTCTAGTTTTGAGATACCTACTCAAGATATGTCTACATACTTCTGACTTTAGAATTTATAGGTTTCAGAGTTCTTTTGAGTTATGGGCAAAATTAAGAGGGTCTTAGTAGCAGGATGGGTAGGGTGTTTGGGTCATCATTTTCTGTATTCTTTACTTTTTATACAAATTTTCACTATTCTATTTTTCCAGAGACAGATATACACATTATGACATATATGTCTCTGATTTTTCTAAATACCCATTATTCTCTTTTCTTCAATTAATTGCCCATTTTTCTATTCTTTATTTTTTAATAAAAAACATTTTCTTTTTTCTCATGTTTCTGTAGCATATACAGACCATAAGCTAATTATAAGGACAGGAACATTCATCAATAGTCATTATATAAGTCCCATTAGTCCCTGTTTGGAGACATAAACATTAAAATAAAAACATTCAATATGCTGTTTTGTGGAAAAACAGCTGCTTTGTTTTAATCTTTATTGTTATATTTTTATTCGTATACTTATGAAATACTGACAAAGAAAATAAAAGTACACATGTTTTTTTCATGTATATAAACCCTATGCAATATCATGTTAAATGATGTACAGTGCAAAAGAAATTTAAATTGAACATGGTTTCAATTTTGGTAGAGGAAATCAAGACTCTTAGCTGGCTCCAAGTTGTCAAAACTGACGACAAAATATAGCAGCTGGCGATTTTTCTGGCTCCAACTTTTTTGGAGCCAGAGCAGCCCCTGGTTTTCCAGTTTACCATCAAGTTTTGGCCACATCAATTTGAAACTTAGTATACAATATAGAAATAAGGAGATGTGGTATAATTGCCAATGAGACAGCTATTCGCCAAAGATCAAATGATGAGGATGTAAGCAATTATAGGCAACCGTATGGCCTTCAAGTTCATTATGTTGTGAACTTTTGAAAATATATTACGGTTTTGAGCCATATTTTCATGCTTCACTGAAAAAACAACATTAAATTGACAATTGAAGATATCTGAACAACTTGTCTTTTTTTTGTTTTAATTAGATTCTCATGTAATTTGCTGCCTGCTTCTCTAATATTCAGTGAAGTTTAAATTGCTTCATACAGTATTAATAATACTATACTGTTTATTCCAGGAAAATTCTGTGAGACCAAAGTAAATGGTTGCCATAGTGACCCATGTTTCCCTGGAGTCCATTGTACAGAGACATCTGAATCTTATGCTTGTGGTAGTTGTCTTGATGGTTACCAAGGTGATGGAGTAAATTGTAAGTACTTTTTGTTTTTAAATTTGCAAACTCAAGTAAACATTACAACATTGAAAAACAATAGGGAACATCTAGATGTCAACTCTTTTTATTTTTTTGTACAATTTCAAGATAGATTGCTTTCATTAGTTGATGAAACTTGAGTGTTTGCTGATAGTAATGTTTTAAAAAAGAGATGACATTTTAAGTTGCTAACTAATTAAAATCTTTTTTGTCTCTAAATTCCCTCAAAAATATAGGACCAATCCTGATGTCTCGAAAAAGGTCCTTTGCACAGTCTGTTCCTACAATCATGAACTGATTTAGTAATTTTTAGTAGATTTTGTGTCAAGTCCTTTACAAGTAAGATTTTTTTCATTTGTTAAGATATGAGCAGTAATAAGCCCATACAATCAAATATTCGTCTAATACTAACCTTTTTGCTTTTCAGAGATAATAAAGAACATTAGGGGCATCTTAAATAATTGAAAGAACATTTATTACAAGCATTAGATTTTAGAACTTAACTGTGATTGAAATAAGCATTTTAAAGTACTATAAATTCAAAAATTAATGTGTGCATCTAATATTGCTAATCGCTTACTACTGGTAAAAAATGATAGATCTAATAAATTTAGTTGCAGAAATTTTGTGAAGTAAAATCACAGCTGAAATAATAAATGCAAGTTTTTATGATTGCAAACCTGGTACTGTCACATTTTTTGCATTCATAAAAACATCGCATTCATTTCTGAATTTACAGTACTTTGTACTTTTCAGGTAGAAAAACTTGTGCCTCACAGCCATGTTTTCCTGGTGTTGTGTGTAAAGACCTGAACAGTCCTTATCAAGGCTTCGTCTGCGGTGCTTGTCCCAAATATTATTATGGTAATGGTGAAAAGTGTTATAGAAATGGTAGGTTTTAGAGTTACTCCCCTTTTATGTTACAAAAATCGCTATTTTGAGAGTTGCTCCCCTTGTAAATCATAGAAATGGTAGGTTTTAGAGTTGCTGCCCCTGTATGTTATAGAAATGGTCGATTTCAGAATTGCTTCTTTTGTATGAAATAGAAATGGTAGAATTCAGAGTGGCCCACCTTGTATGTTATAGAAATGGTAGGTTTAAGAGTTGTTCCCCTTGTATGTTATAGAAATGGTAGGTTTTAAAGCTCATTCCCTTGTATGTTATAGAAATGTTAGGTTTTAGAGTTGTTCCCCTTCTATGTTATAGAAATGGTAGGTTTTAAAGCTCATTCCCTTGTATGTTATAGAAATGTTAGGTTTTAGAGTTGTTCCCCTTCTATGTTATAGAAATGTTAGGTTTTAGAGTTGCCCCCCTTTTATATTATAGAATATGTTGGTTTTAGAGTTGCTCCCATTCTACGTTGTTGACAATGGTGAACAGTGGTACAAAATTGTCAGGTATTAAGAGTTACTTCCCCTTTATGTTGAAAACATTTTGCCAATAATAGGATACTTCTCCGCTATAGAAAGGTTAAGTTTTTTAATGTTAAAATGTGAGGATTTTCAATATTTGATATTATATCTATTGCAAGTTGAGAAATATTCTATTTTACAAAAGCAGTTGGTGAAATTAATAACAAGAGATGTATATCTCTCAGTCATTCACATGGTTATTTTGTTATCTTTTTTTGTTGTTGACAAAGTAATATACTTGATCCAATAAGTGACTTGAGTAAATTAATGAAATAAGGACATTAAGTCCTGCACAATGTACATACCGATTACAAGGTTATCTACATATTGATATTAAAAATATCAGCTGCGAGTCACAATATGAAGCTTTTTGTCGAGTGAACGCAGCAAATGAGTTCAAAAAAATATTGTGTAGAGAGCAGCTGATATTTCACAATATAAATATGATGAGAATCTGATAATAAATTTATCAGATTGTTTTTGTGTATTTTGCATGACAGAAACAAACGTTTTTCTTTGTTTCACCAGCAAACCGGAAGATGACTTGATAAGTTCGGGTCAAACTTATCAACGTCAGTTCTTTCATACTGAGGTTGTTGATACATCCGGATCAAAGTTATTAAGGCCAGGTTAAGGTATTTGACGTCACAAAGCTGTGATATGCAATTTTATTAAGAGCTGAGGAGGGTGATATAGGCAAAGGGAAGGACGATAACATAGTATATGATTATTTGATTTTGTCATATCTGATATTTACCCTTCAAGAGTTTAAGATATTGCCTGAATAAAAGTAAGAAAATGTTGTATGGTGTTCTGTGATTTGAATACACTGTCTTATATAAATTACTAGTCAGATTCTTAGAAAATACACCACTATTATTCAATACTATGGATTCATGATTATTCGTGGTATATCAATTTTCGCTGCTTTCATGGTTATAGTTTAACCATAAATATAAATGTTTGAGGAAGTACAAATTTTCTGTAAGCTGGTATGCAGACTTTGGCTAAACCACAAAATCAAATATCCATGAAAAACATAATTTTTTCTAAATCCACAAAAATTGGTATCCACGAAAAATAATTGATTCCACAGAATAACTTTTTCTGTAAAAATTATGGCTTTTAATATAAAGTTTTACTACAATTCAATTTAATTTTTTTCTTAGATGAGAAAGCTTGTGAAGAAACAATGTGCTCAGACCTTGTTACTTGTGAAGAAAGTTTGGATTATCCTGGATATCGCTGTGGTAACTGTCCCCATGGTTACATAGGCAATGGTACTATGTGTCAAGGTGAGTATGAATAACCTGCATTTTTAGATTATCAGGTTTTCTGCACATTGACATCGTAAAATATCTGCCACTTGCCACAATGTAAACCTTTTCCAGAAAACCAGATAATCTATTTATGGAGCTTTTTCTGGTTTTTTCCCCCACCCTTAGAAAGTTTTACGCCTGACAAAAGGAAGCTGGATAATGTCTCCTCAAGCATTATGACATCACTGATAACTTCTCCTCATGTATTGTGACATTGTGATAAATTCTGCTCATGTCTCAAAGCCATGATACAAAAATTACAGAGCGACTGAGCTATAAATCAATAGTCTTGTGATCAAATGAACCTGTAAAAAGTGACAAATTTGACTGAAAATGGTAATTTTCATGTAGTTTTTGGCAGAACTAAATATGAGCCAAGGTTTTACCAAAAAAGATATTCAGCAATAACATTTTTGTACATTACAAATCTTCTTTTCTGATAAGGAATATACAGTTTTGCATTAAAAAGCAAAACGTTTGAAACACCAGTGCAGATATGCAAGAACCAATTTAAAAATTATTAATACTGATACCTTTTATGTTTTAAATTCAAGGGACTTTAAATACCTTCTTCTTTCATCATTAACCAAACTGGTAGAGGATTGTTTGTAAATATGAGGATTTGCTCAGCTTTAGCATATGAAAGAGAAAATATGTGGAAAACAAATTTACAAGACAATTATATGTAACTTTTAAATTTATTTCTTATGTAAGTCTATTTATACAACCATACCTGCCAACCCTCCTGTTTTGAGGAGGAGACTCCCACTGAAACGGCGAAATTCCGGAAATCTCCTGCTTGCTGATCCGCTCCTGCGCGGGATTATAGAATCTCCTGCTTTCGGATATTTTAACCCGGAATGACCCGCGTTCGTAATTCTCTGGCTTTTTCATTACTGTCAATAGAAATAAATAAACAATTGCCGATCTTTTGAAAACTTTGGTCAGTAGTTTTTTTGTTTGATTTATAAGTAATCGAAATTCATTTCTGCTATGTCAACTCCAACAAGATAGAGGTCTTTGTCTGGACCAATCGGCAGTGTAAAAAAGTAGAAATAGACAACTGCAAATCGAAATGTCAAGCAGACTGAATGAAAGATTTTTAATTTTTACGACCAAGTTCACTGACAATTGGCAATGAATCTTCATTTTGCACATCATGTTCAATCAAGTTTTCGGTTTCATCTGACGGTCTGTACGACGTTTGAAAGCATGCTTAATGTGGGTCTCACAACAAAATCAAAATATGGAATGTTATGAGTTATGAGACTCAGAGGTATTGAAAAAGGGAAAAAAAAAAAAAAAACAACATACCTTGTAAAGATTATAACCATGAATTGAAGAAATAAAGAATATCTATTAACTGTTATTGGTGTTTTGTAGATGAATAAATAAACAGGTCATATATTTAACTTGAAAATGTCGTTTACGCAAAATCTCCCCCTCAGCTGTCATAGCTGAAGGGGAGATCTCCCTCTTTGAAGGTTTCAGAGGTTGGCAGGTATGTACAACAATTCCACTGATTCTTCTTGAAATTTATTTACAGCATTCTGTTTCCCGCCATGTAAAGATGGAAAGATTTGCATTCAGCCAGGTGTTTGTGGATGTCGTCATGGTTACCAGGGACCAGGATGTAGTCAAGGTATTTTATATTGAAATATTGGTGTAAATCTTTTAGAGGAAGTTACTGTAAAAAAGTTTTTTTACTTAATTTTGATGTAATATTTCTTTTTGGTGGTTTCATGTATTTGCAAGTATCTATCTATGAATGGTTTTAAGGTATAAATTTTGTTGCTTTTCCATGAACTTAAATGCAGTGAAAACTAGTTGGCAATGGACATTTATCTTTTTGAAATAAAGGAGAAGGGGCTCTAAGGGGTAAAATTGGCCCCACTTCCGAATCTATTGATATTTCTTTCAATTGATATCTATGATATGGAGCTTATAAAACATCAATGATTTAATAGTTATCTTTTGCTGTTTTCTTGTTATGACGTCATAAAAATGGTATGCTGACTAAGCTAAAATATCAGCTTTTAACATATTTTATCCTTTTTTTATGTATTGTGTACTTTTTACAATAGATTACACCTTAAATAATCAACGTGAATACATTATTACTAGTGTAACATTGTAGTAATACAATGAAGAACAAAATTGATATAAAGTTTAACTATTTAATATCAGCAATATAGTTGCTATGGTAACAACACAGTTAACATTTCTTCTATGTATGACTAAATTACAGAAATTTTTCACAAGATGGAATCTACAACTATTGTTTGTGTATTCTTTTACCTTGAATTACCAATATGAGTATTGTGTGTACTTTTATGTAGTCTGTTGATAAAAACACAAAGAAGGTATAACATATTACGTACTAGTATACAGATAATATATGAATAAAGTTCGCAATTTCATAAACTATACATTTCAACAATTACTCAACCTTATTAAAACTGAAATATTCTTAGCACGTTTATCTTTATAAATTTTTCACATGTTCTTCATATCAAATTAAGAAATATAATGCGCAAATCCCCCCCCCCCCCCCCCTTTTTTTTTACCTCAACCTTCCTTTTTTTAAATGTTGCCAAGGTTACAAGTGCTACATCAGGAGATAGTGTATCAGATTAACCAAACTGTTGATTAAGAAACTCGTCTTACTAGACTATGATTATTATTTTTTTAAACAACAGTTATCACAAATTCAGGTATTATGTTATCAATAATAACTATGCCAGTTTGGTGTGACAATTCAGTGTTCCAATTTACCAATTTAACTATTGCAATAAATGTCTTCCCTTCTATATTCGCCATCTGCAGATACACATGAAACTTGAATTAAAATCATTTCAATTGTTGTTTAAGATTTTCCGTACTGAAATTTTCAAAAATTAAGTTTCCAAATATTAGAGTTAAAACATATTCATTTATAAATATGTGAAAGGGAAAACAAATATATGAGAAATGAAATGAGGATAATTGAGCATGATTGAATATTAAATATAATGAAAAAACTTCTGAAGTATCACCATTAAAATTTTTTGAAAAAATCTCAGTCAAGCCATCATATTTGACATGTGTTTTTTGCTTAAGAAATGTTAAAAGAAGTAGATATTAAATCAGGCAAAAACACTTTTACTGCTTTTTTTTTTTTTTATAAAATTGACAGTTGTTGCTAATATTCCACATAATGGTACCCTGATATCGACGTACGTCAGTTTTATTCCCAACAATGACATACAAAACAAAAATGACATTATACTATATGCCCTATATGTCCAAGTAATTGTTCAGTAAAATACAAATGTTTAATGTTTACTCCTCCGGTTCACTGTCACTATCATCAATGATTTCTGGCTGATTAGCATCATGGACATAGTCCCTCCATTGCTTTGCTTGATTTCCTTTGCAACTTTGATGCCAGTAAAAACTTAGAAACCATATCACTGAGGAAATATGACTACAAGTGCCAACAATTCGAGCACCGTCCTTGCAAGTACAGTACCAAGCCTTTATGCAGCAGTCATCGTATGTAATCCATAGATTATGCGATTTGCTGCTTGTATGCCTGCTTGCCATTCTAACCCTAATGAGTTGATGTCCCTGTTGCATGACTTCATAGTATTCGTCATTTTCTAAATGTTCCTCTGTATAACTCTTAGGTAGTTTAAGCTGGTATACACCGAGCATTATGTCCCTGATGTCCTCCTCCGATAGCTTCGGAAAATCTTCAACTGAATCGTTGCCATCTATTTTTTACCACCTACCACTTCTGGAATGTAAGTTTTCATTTGATACCCGTTCCATGAGCTCATTTTTCTTATTTGACATGTAAAGCATTTTTGCACCTAAGAGTAGGTCTTCAGTTTCATTACCAGCATTAAGTGGTGGTCTATACTTATGACATATGGCACTGACAAAACGTGTATATTCACCAGCATATGGTATAAGGGAATTGGGTAATACTTTGTCAAGCAATCACCACTGCTTGATTCTACCATTAACTGACTCAACAACCCAGCAGACCATTGTTACTAGACGTGTTGTGTTACCGTCTTCAACCGAAAGTTGCTTCTCGTTACGTTTAAGAAAGCTTGGCATTTTAATTTGAATACCAAATTCTTCTAACAGGTCGATACTGTCTCAAAATCCCCAATCAACTACAACAACATCATTTGTTTCAAACCATTCCTTTAATTAATGCTCTCCAAGTTATTTTTGAAAATTGAGTTTAAAATTTTGGCATCATTGTTTTGCTGTTACAAAGGTAGGGTCCAATCACACTTACAATGTATCCTGTAGTAGAGGCAAACATCATTGGCTTAATCAGGTTGCGGTATTTGTGCATGCTATATGTACTACGTTGAAATTTAAATTGTCCACTCTTTTGTATGTAAATATAAGTACCATCAATTACAAGTATTGCAGTTGTGTTTGTGATATCACCAAATAGTGTTTGTGCCAGTGGACGAGTGTGGTTTTATATAACACTTTCTCGGATCAAAAATACATGATCAAAACCTAAATATTTTAGTGTAAAGTGCTGTTTAACTGCATCTCTTGGTGATGATATAGCTTTCCTGATAGAATCTTTGCTTATATTAAACAGAGTTGCTAATATCTTATTAGACATCCCCGAACGAAGTTTGGTAAAAAATATACCAATGCATGTTCTCATGCTTCGTACTCGGGTATCTCTTATAGCTGAGTTTGGAATGTGAGAACATAAGTCTTCAAAATCAGTTATTGTTAAGCCAGTCAAATTTCCAAAGTCTGTGTCATTTAAAGAAGAAGATTTATCAAATTCAATTCTAGCGTTTTTATTTTTTAATGCATGTTCTCTAATTGTATCTATCAATTCAAGTAGTCCGCTGCGATTGAAGTCAGAAACAGTATACACACTTGTTATGTCTTCGTAAGCTTCTTTTGTAAATACTTCAGTACATAAATGACGAGGACAGCACCGTGATCCGGCAGGAATAATTATATTCTTTCCCAAAAATGTGTTAAATCGTGCCTCTTGGGTAACAACCATAAGTTTTGGACCATGCTTTTTGCAAAGACAACATTGTGCTTGACATTCAATTGTTGAAGAAATAGGAAGCGATATTGATAAAGGAGAACTTAATTTTGCTCTTTTAGGTGCGGATGGTGGCATAAAATCAGGATCATTTGTATTTGTATCAGTTGTAAGAACAGTTGGTGTATTTACTTGAGCTTGCTCTTCTCTGTAGTATTTCCGTCAACAAGTATCACAGATAACGTCATCATCATTAGATAAAACAAGGAAACTCTTACTGAGAAAATTGTGCAGATTTTTATTTGCTTCTCCACACAAAGGTCTTCTTTTTCCGGGTTTTGTTCTTTTTTCACACAATATACATTTAAAATCTTTTCGTCCCTTTCTTATGTTGTCCATTCTGAAAAAAAAACATACATAAGAGGATACAATTAATATTTGGTACATTCAATTGCAAATTCTATTCAACTCCTAAACAATTTCATTGCAATCTTTTTTTGTTTAATATATATGTGTTAACTGTATTTCAAAATCTAACGTTAGCCTGTGCTAAAAGAATAATGGTGAAATAACATGATTAAATTTAATAACTATAATTGTAAAAAAGAGAATAGAAATAACCATGTTTATGAATATAGGCGGAATATATTTTACAATGTGTTGTGCAGAATAGCCATATTAAATGGCGAGGTGAATGAATAAGACAGCAAACCAACTACAGACAATACCAGAACATGTTCGACATTAGACAAGCCCGGCATTATAATGACTGTTCAACTTAAATTGCTGTTTTAAGTAACAGTCATGTTGAGGTTTTATGTTTGGTGTTTGTTATTTACATAACACAAAATTTGGATCAAATATAACAGATTCCTTTTAAGATGAAACTCTGTCTTCCACTCTTCTTACTAGCGTAGATTATGCAAGCCAGTGCACCAAAATTTTCACAAGATTTTCCATAGTAGAAATAACATTCTAAGTTGTCAAATTCATTTCTGTGTTTGGTTATATGAATATTAAATGAATGTATTGATGTTTAAAATCCAGTGGCAAATATTTCATACATTTTCAGACTATAACATGATGTGTTCCATATTTTGTACTTTTACTTCTGGATACTGCGCATACATATGTAATTTTAAATCTGGTTTCGCAATGCTTTTAATTGAACTATGAATCTTCTTCACTCAATATCAAATAATCGATTGCATAAAATTATATAGATACTCACTCATTTTTAATTCTACAAGGAAATTATCATGTAATAATTTAGGTCCACTGTCTGCAGAATCCATTTATGTCTAAAAATTTAAAAAAAAAAACCGTCTTAATGTATATTGGTGCATATTGATTTTGTTTCTTTTTTTTTATATCTATCATGAAAGTCAACAGACGGAACTTTCCTCTTTAGCACATATACCATTTCTTCATGGGTAAAACACATGCAAATCTATCCATAATAATAGTACATGTAGCTTGAGAATTAACAATTAACAAAGTTTGGGTATATACTTTTATTTATCTTTTTTTTAAATTGTTTGTTGTTTAAGGTGTCTTTACAATATTATTGATAAATGATAATATGATTTAAAACGACAAATGTAAAACATTACGAAACGAGGAAAAAATAATTGGTCCTGATGAGACTCGACCGTAATTCCTTAGCTTACTGACATAGCGTGTAGGCGATATGAACCACACTGCCACATCAACTACATGACGTTAATAACTCTTATTTATAATTTTGATTCATAAAAGGACGGAACAATATTATTTCGTTTTCATTTCTTTACTACTTATTTACGATTCAACTAAATTGTTTTTATCATTGATATGGCCATTTCATTATTGTTGATTGTGTCATGGTCTAAATTATTTTTGTTTTACCAAACAGACGTGCAAAATGGAAAATGAAGTTTTCGTCTGCTGTGCCGTGGAATTTTATACGTGTTTTGTAGTTTGTGTTCCGTTTTACTTAATTTTGAATAATTTGGAGCAATTGAAAGAAAATAAATCATAGAATTAAAATTTTGTTTTTATTTTGCTTTTTCTTCAGAGATAATAATATGAAAAGACGGAAGAACTTTTTACGTGACATGTTCAGGGTGTAGTTTATGCATAACTTACCTTTCACGAGGTACAAATTCCACCATTTTGAAAAATATGATCGCATCTTTTAAATTATATTAAGTTCTTTCAATTCTGTCTGGTAATAACGAATGATACGCTGATTTCTATTCCGCTATAAAAAGCTTCTTAACAACAGCACCAGTAAAATTCCGTGCGTCAGTTCCGTAATCACTTACAACAAATATACGCAAGGGCTAGGCTATGCTTGAGAGGCTATGTTATACTTTAATATGAAGAAAACACTTTGTTATTTACTGATCTTTACTTACTATAGCCAAACTTTATTGTTATCAACCATTGACAAAAAAATCTGTTAAAAAAAAATACATCTGTTCCTGGTCAACTCTTAGTCTGACAATTGCGTACCGATAAATATGAAAAACAGACGATAATCTTAGAATTTTGATGCCAGTTTCAGCAAGTTTTTAATTAAAATTCAGTATGAACGCAGCTTTGCCCCATGAAAATATTTCAACACAAGATGCTTTTTGTTGATATTATTGCTCTGACAAAATATTTTGTTGGGGCAAGAATGGGCTGGTACTTTTTTCGTAAAAAAACTTAGTGAAAATGAGTAAAAAATTGCGAAAATCCAGCAAATATGCACGTGAAGTGATGTCAAAACACGGCATTGTGTAGTCATAACTACAGAAAAACATATGTCCAACGGAAAAAGAAAGCCATACACATACAAATAAGTAGAATTTGAAAAATTCTCAAAATTGAGGCCAATATTGGCCATTATAGCCCCTTCTCCTTTGCCAGGTTTTCTGCTTTTAAATTGGTTTTTTATTGGTACAAGTGCAAAGACATGACATCATCACTTAATTTCATTCTTGAATTTAGGAAACTTGACATTTTTAGACAAAGAAATATATTATCTTGCTTTAGAACATAGGAGGGTCTGGAGTCTCTGGACGGGGTGTACAGAATAGAGAATAATGGGCCAATACTGCAGAAAAATGGGCCCAAAAAATAAAGAAAAGAGAATAACAGAGTGCTAAATGAAAAAAAATGATAATAATAGGCAAAATTTATAAAGAATAGAGAAAAATGCCTTAAAAATGCAAGAATTCAGAATTTGAGGACCCTCAGCCAGACCCTTATATAGAGTTCTGTTAAAAAAAACAAAATAGTTGTTCATGTACCTTTTATTATTTTTATGCCCCTCCTATGATAGTAGAGGGACATTATGTTTTCCGGTTTGTGCATCTGTTCGTCAGTCCGTCCGTCTGTCCCGCTTCAGGTTAAAGTTTTTGGTCAAGGTAGTTTTGGTGAAGTTGAAGTCCAATCAACTTGAAACTTAGTACACCGGTTCCCTATGATATGATCTTTCTAATTTTAATGCCAAATTAGAGTTTTTACCCCAATTTCACGGTCCACTGAACATAGAAAATGATAGTGCGAGTGGGGCATTCGTGTTCTATGGACACATTCTTGTTGTGACTGAGATTAACAAATGTTACCCTAATGTCTTTAGATTTTTAAATGTATGAACTCAGACTGAAAATTCTTGAATATTTTTTTTAAAGTCAGTGAATAACAATCAATTTAATTGGATATTTTTTTCATTTTGAAATTCAACCCGAAAATAATAAGATATGGTATCATTGCCAATGAGACATATATCCACTAGCATCCAAATGATGCAGAAGTTATCATCTAAATGTTACTGTACTGCATTCAACAATGAGCAAAACCCATACTGCATAGTAAGCTTTAAAAAGCCCAGAAATGGCAAATGTAATACAATTCAAACAAGAAAACTGATGACCTGGTTGATCAACACAATAACGACTCTTTCTTTTACTTCTAGCTATATGTAGAGTCAAGTGTCAGAATGAAGGCTTCTGTTACCAACCAGACAAGTGTTTTTGTCCCCCTGGATACACAGGGCAGTATTGTGAAACAGGTAATGTTAAAGATTAAACAATTAATTATAACTTCAGGTCATAGAAATTTCTGGTACGATTATCATACTCAGACTTAGAATTCAACCAATCAAAATTCTGGATTTTGTACTCAGAGTACTAAGAATAGTTTTATAACTGAGATCTCAGGACACTTAAGCGTATTTCTGCTTAGCATTGCCTGAATAACCATCTGACTAAAATGTACCAATTTAATCTACTGCATTCAGTTCGCTTTCATTTTATATCTTCATTAGGAACATTTCAAGTTGTATATATTTGTTATTTGGAAGAGATTTTTTTTTTAAATCTATAAAAATAAATGGAAAAGTAAAACCCTATAATTATCCTTTCATATGTAAGGCCAGGGTTTTATAATTTGTTGGTTTACGGATATGCCAACCCTATTTTTTCCGATTTGCAGAATGAAAAAAAAATTGACATTTCATGCTTTTTTATTCCAGCCGACCCTAACAAATACATTATCCCTGAAATTTAAATAAAAATATTCTTTTTTATGAAATTAAATGCATTAAACATTGGCGGACAGAAATGATTACATATTGTGTTGTAAAAAAAATAAAAATCTAAGAATAATCTGTAGGTTTACGTATCTAAAAAATAGACAACCATAACTGACCTTGAAATGTTGTTTTGGCAAATAATTTTGCAGAACGAAACCTGTGTTAAAAACCCATTACAATAAGTTCGTTTTGCCTTTTTTGTCATAATTCTGTAAGATTTATCATCTCCAAACTCAAAAGCAATAATATTTGGAACTAAAATTTAAGAAATGATGACAAAATAGCATACCAAAAATATTGTTAGCAAGCTGAAATATATATTTTATTTTTTACATATTTATGTCTTGTAAGATATTTTGTTTTCTTTTTTTTTTCCGACCGACCGACCCAAATTTTTCATGTGAAAAATCTGTAAACAAACAAATTTAAAAACCCTGGCCTAAGTTTTAAGAAAATTTATGTTACATGCATATAGTATAAACACTTTTTTTATTTTAAAATTCAAGTATGTTATTGCACAAATAGTCGTTATCAAAATCTTTTTAATGTGTAAATTGCTAATTAAAGCAGGGGATTGATTAGCAAACATCAAAATACCAATTATATCTATGTTGCATTTTTCAAAGTATTTTTACATTTAATAAAGAAAAAAAGTTTTGGTTTTATCTGTCTTAAGATTTTAATTTTTTTATTATTTTTTTTATAGAGTTATGTCCCAGTGGATGTGCTAATGGTGGATCTTGTCTTGGTAAAAACTTATGTGCCTGTTTATCTGGCTACAGGGGTCATAGGTGTGAAATAGGTGAGTTGCGGGGAGAAAACTTATGTGCCTGTTTATCTGGCTACAGGGGTCATAGATGTGAAATAGGTGAGTTGAAGGGAAAAAACTTATGTGTCTGTTTATCTGGCTACAGAGGTCATAGGTGTGAAATAGGTGAGTTCAGGGGCATGTAATTTATGTTATAAATTGTTGCCTTAGATATGATATGGATTAATTCTCTTAGATAGAGATTATTGATGTAGAATTATGTTGACTCATTATTTTTGGCGGGATATTTGCTTATTCTGGATCAGTTTTATGGAACGGACTACCATATGAAATGTGTAAAGTGCAAAACACTTTTTGTTTTAAACAAATTATAAAACGATACTTGAGGCAGTTCTAATATTCAGTCTTGAAATGATTGCAACTATTACATTTTTAGAATTTATGATTTTGATTTGTATATAATATCTATTTACTACAAGCACTCTGTAACTGTTTTATATGTTCTAATGGTACATGTACACTGAACTATCATGACTATACGATTGTGAACTGACTATGTGTTTTAAATGTTGTATGTTTGATTTTTTTCTCTTATTATTATTTTTTTTTACTTGTATTGTATATGAGGGCCTCAGCGAAGATTAGTAATTGTAACTAACTGTGTTTACCCTCTTTAAATAAAGAATTTATTATTGTTATTATTATTATTATTATAGGTTAACCACACATTTAAATGTTCAACAAGTTACAAATTTTCTATAGGAATGGCTAAACCATGAAATCAAATATCCACAAAATTTGCAACTATTCCTCAATCCACGAAAATTAGTACCCACAAAAATAAAGGAATCTGTTTAGAGGAGTTCATTGTACATGCATATGACACATGTGTCTGTAAATTAAGAAATCAAGATGGTTGAAAATTTGTCAATAATTAGTATAAAATAGATCTTTTGATTCATTCAAGAAAATATGACAACAGCATCAATGTTTGACTTATCAGTAGTTACAAAAATTGTTGGGTCACCATTCCCCGTCTTATCTACCTTTGAATGTGACTATATATGTAACAATTTTCACACTAAAAAAAAAAAAATACTCGATGGGTAATTTTCCAGTAAGAAGTTCCTAAAATGTAACTCTGTTCTCCTTGGCATTATTTGACAATTATATGCTTGGGACCACTTTTAACCTTTTTTGGTAAGGGTGAGCAGCTGGAACATCCAGTATCACAACATTTTCATATATTTTGAATTGCAAAAATACTTACCCAAACATATATTTTTTGACAAAAATATATCTATAGTGATCATGATTACGCTTTTGAAGGAAGAGATAAATAGATTTGACAAATATCTGATGTATTTAGAACAGAGGTTTTTAATTGCAACATTATTATTTATTATACTTCATGTCAAAATGCCAGACTTTGATTGGTTAATACGAGGGAGACAATTTGCTCTATTACCCTTCACAGAGATGCTTGCTCAAGTGTGCGCTTTAATAAATACGGATGATTGTTATGTACAAGAAGACATAGTTTATTACTTTGAATTTGAAATTTAATAGAGAGTAATAACAGAACATTCAGTATAATAAATTAAATAACACATAGCTGAGAGGGTGATAGAGCAGATTGTTACCCCTCAAAAAGACATTGTCAACCTTGGCTTCGCCTCAGTTGACAATGTTTTCTCGGGGTAACAATCTGCTCTATCACCCTCTCAGCAATGTGTTATTTATATAATATTTCACCTTAATTTCTCAACCTTATCATATATAAAGATGCTGGAAAAAACTACCTATTTCAGTTGCTGATCCCTACCGCCTGTTACATAGTTAGTGGCCCCAAAGATTGTAGGGTAGAGAGATTGCTGGAATATTCAATTTTTGTATATTTATATTTTTTACAGAATCTTGTTCTATAACCTGTCTCAATGGTGGAACTTGTGTTGGATTTAACCGATGTCGGTGTACAGAACAGTTCAAAGGAGTCTTTTGTGAACAAGCTGTGTGTGAACAAGACTGTATTAATGGAGGTGTGTGTGTCCGTCCAGGGGTTTGTTACTGTCCCATGGGATACCATGGCCGTCAGTGTGAAAATGGTTTGTTTTTCTCAAGATATGTCTGTTTATTTTGAATAGATAAATCTCTGCAAACGTCAGTGAAAATGGTTTGTTTTTTCTCATGTAACGTCTGTTTATCTTGAATTGATAAATCTCGGCAAACATTTGAAAAAACATGGGTAAACCTGACAGATCTAATTAAAAAAGCAACATTTAAGAATTAAAAAGAACATGCAATAAGTAATTGTTACAGGCAAATACTGAACTCTATGGAAACATAATAGCATTAAAAAGAGTAACCTGAATAATTCAGTTCCTCCACATGATCCATTTTCTCACTCTCCAAGGCCTGAACACTTTATAAAGTAGAATTTTTATTGCGCTCTCTAGCTGAGAGATCCAAATACCCTGTAACTTACTATTATTGAGATAGGTAAATCCTGAGCTTATTTAGAATGACTAAATGATGAGTTTTCATGGACTAGGCCTTGGGGCATTAATGTAGCCATTGAAGAGCGTTGGAATATAATGACTGAATTATTAGGGTTACAAAAACACAAGTACAGACTAAACAACCACAAAAAGCAAAAAATTCAAACAGTTACTGAAAGCAACCATTAATTTAAATGTTCAACAAAGTACACATTTTCTATAAGCTTATATGTAGACTTTGGCAAAACTACAAAATTAAATACTCACAAAAATACAATTTTCCCTCCATCCAAGAAAATTGGTATCCATGAAAATAAATGAATCCCCAGTAATTAGCATACTGATATGAAATCATGCATTCTTACACTCTAATATTGGTGGTTGTACTTCAATATGCTTTTAATTTAGAAAGGTTTCAAAGAGTACAGAAAGACAAGATCTTACGCAATGCCCAAAACAAATTTGTACAGATATTCAATACAGAAAAACAATTTAGATTCACAAATTTCAGGCATACAGGTTGAGATTGCAAAAATAGATTTCTACAAGAGCTGCCTGTAAACAGTAAATAAATTTAAAGTGATTCCTAAGGTTGATCAGCCTTTCTGACTTGTTCAGTAAAAATTGGTTCTGTCTTGAAATTGTTTACTTTTTCCAGCATTAATTGATAAGAGTTTATTTTACCAATGTCATTTTGAAGTATTGAGTCCTCCAGAGTCACTGAAATTGAAAATACAAGTTTTATTTTTCAGCATTCTGTTATCCTACTTGTGAAAATGGTGGTTACTGTGTAGCAGGGAACCAGTGTCAGTGTCGTCCAGGATTTGCAGGATTACAATGTCAGTTAAGTAAGTATTGTAACCTTGGTGAAGGCTGTCATCCAGAGTTTGCAGGTTCACTTTTCAATACAATTGATATTGTAACAAGTGTAACTGCTGGAATTCAGGGTTCAAGGGGTCAGATTGGCAATTTTGTAAATATTGTTACATATTCATACTCTTGCTCCAAGGGGTATACTGGTGTTCCTCCTCATCTGTCCATCCATGTGTATGTCAGTCTCTCTATCCAATGAATTTTTTTCTCATTTCAACTGTCACCGAGCGAAAGCATCACTATCTTTTTATTTGGATAAATTCTTTATTTTAGAAGACTATTAAGACATGTACAATGATGTGCTTCTGCTCATGTAGAATCTAAAATAGGACATTCATAATATAAAATGGCATATTTCAGCCACAAAGATTATTAAACAGAAATTTCTTTATGCCCCCGCTGCAGCAGAGGGGGCATTCAGTGTTACCCTTGTCCGTCAGTATGTTCGTCCATAGTTTTACGTCCAAAAATGGTTTCTGTTCTCTAACTTTAGTTTGCCTCAACCAACTGTTATGATACTTATACACAATGCTTATTACCACAATACACAGATCAAGTTGGCGTCACCTTTACCGTTCTTGAGTAATGTCGTTTATAACGTTATATGCAAGCAGGGCATCATCTGTGTCCCATGCACACATTCTCCATTTATTTTTATAAGTGATGCATATTATGTTCCAAAAAATTGACAATATATTTTTGTCTCTCTATCACAGAATGAAAGACATAGCATAAACTAGGTGTGTAATGCTCTATATTTCTAAAGTAAACTAGCTTGATATTCCACATCTTGTATACAGTTGCCTTATGGTTCTGAATTTTTTATCTGGCATATGTCCTTTGTTGTTGACTTCATGGTTCAGTGACTACTGTAAAAAGGCTATATAATTTTTTATCAGATGATTTTATCAGTTGTGAGTATGAGGATAATATATCTGGTATCATTGCAAGGTGTACTTATAAAAATAAGAAGATGAGGTATGATTGCCAACGAGACAACTCTCCGCCAGAGATCAAATGACAAAGAAGTCTTAAACTATAGGTCACTGTACAGCCTTCAACAATGAGCAAAACCCATAATGCATAGTCAGCTATAAAAGGCCCCAAAATGACAAAAGTAAAACAATTCAAACAAGAAAACTAACAGCCTGATTTATGTACAAAACAATGAATGAAAAACAAATATGATATACAGGTCCTTTTAACAGGATTCAATTTACTTTGGCTTCATTTTCATGGTTCAGTTGTTAAGTTTTTGTTTTACCTCTAGTAAAAACTTACCTTAAAAAGATTTTCAACATAAAATTCAATCATGATCATTTAAGCAGGTGAGACATTTAAGCATGTGCACTCTAGTTAGTCCCCTACTGACAAAGTCGAGGGGGACTTTAGGTTTGCACTCCGTCCATCTGTCCGTCTGTCTGTCTGTCCATCTGTCCGTCTGTCCATCCGTCAGTCCGGCAAATCAGCTTTCCACACTTTTTTTCTTCGTTCTTGAAGATATTGATTTGATATTTGGTATATAGTTTTATCATGACAAGTTATAGATCAAGTTCGAATTTTGTCCCGGTCTGATGATTTAGTCCAGAGTTATGGACCATAACTCTGGACCATATCTAATGTAAGAGTACTATGTTAAACCATATGTCTGTACAAAGGGAGATAACTCATTTTTTAAAAGACATTCTTTGTTAAATTATTTGAAGAATTTTTTGTCAGGTTTGTTTGTTATTTAGTATAAACTAATTTTCTGAATGCTATATATATAAAAAAAAAATTATGAAGAGAAATCCTTTAATTAGATAATAATCTATTTTTATTAATGTATATATTTCAATACATTACATTGTGTAGATAAAAGTTGTTGACATTTTATAGATAAGTTACAAATCTATATTAGTTTGTGACAAATGAAAGAAAAAATATTTGGAACTATTAATTATATTTGATTATAATTTGAAAATAGATATACACTGTATTACATCATATCTAATTTTAGAGAACTATTAATCATATCTAATGTTTTTTTCACTCATATAATCAGTTTTCCACACTGTTTTTAGTCATGCTTGAAGATATTGACATGATATTTACTTTTTGTTTACACCATGAAAAGTTATAGAACAAGTTAACATTTTGTTCCAGTAAATGAATTTTTACCCGGTAGGGGACTATGTATTGCCATGCAATACTCTCAGAATGCTTGTTTGATATGTGTTTTCTTTTAAAAGTGACATTTTTATGATCATTGTATTTATAAATTTATCTTATAGAATATTGCTTGAAAAATATGTGTCAGAATGGCGGAAGATGTGTTGGACCTGGAGCATGTGTTTGTAGGGCGGGATGGGAAGGCAAATATTGCAGAAGACGTAAGTTTTTACGAATTGTTTAATTTTGATTTCATAAATCTAAATCACAAAATATGATTGAAATATTTCTTTCTTTTCACAACATTTTATATGAAAATAGAGAGAGTGCTCTTCAGCACACAGAGAAAAAAGTTAGAGTTCACAAGCTCTGCATCATAACATTATTTAAAAATTTTGAATTCCATATGGTCAATTTGATATTATTTCATCATCTTGAAATAAGATAATCCAAGACTTAAGACAGGAAAAATAGTAGTATAAAATACCATTTCGACTAAGAGATCTAGAAAATGCATGTTTTCTTCCATTTATTGTCAATCTCTATGCAAGAAGACCTGTTAGAGAAATGCCTATGTAACTTCTCTGTTGGAGAGTTGTCTCATTGGCAATCATACCACATATTCTTATTTTTATGTAAATAATCCTGACTATTTAGTACAAATGCATTTGTTACAAGTAATTAAGAGAAGCAGTCTTTATAAGGAAAAATCTGTTTGATATTAAAGTTGTTACTTGTGAATCAAGATTATCATTTTACCTTAACTTTTATTCAGTTGTGTCTTATCTTTACATTTATTTGATAAGTTATTATACCCCACGCAACGAGTTGCGGAGGGTATAATGTTTTTGACCCGTCCGTCCGTCCGTCTGTCTGTCCATCCGTCTGTCCGTCCGTCAGTCCGTCAGTCCTGTTTCTTGTCATCTCAACTCCTCTCAAACAACACAACAGAATTTCACGAAACCTTTTTAGATAACAAGGACATACTATGTAGTTGTGCATATTGACAGGAAATTACAATTCAATTATTTTTCTAGGAGTTACGCCCCTTTGAACTTATTAACTTTAATGTACTACTGCAACAGTTTGTCATCGCAACTCCTCTCAAACCACACAACAGAATTTCATGAAACCTTTTCAGATAATAAGGACATACTACATAGATGTGCATATCAACAGGAAATTACGATTCAATTTTTTTTCCAGGAGTTACGCCCCTTTGAACTTATTTGCCCAATATACTACTGCAACCTTTTGTCATCGCAACTCCTCTCAAACCACACAACAGAATTTCATGAAACTTTTTCAGATAATAAGGACATACTACGTAGATGTGCATATCGACAGGAAATTACGGTTCAATTTTTTTTCCAGGAGTTACGCCCCTTTGAACTTATTTGCCCAATATACTACTGCAACCTTTTGTCATCGCAACTTCTCTCAAACCACACAACAGAATTTCATGAAACCTTTTCAGATAATAAGGACATACTACGTAGATGTGCATATCGACAGGAAATTACGATTCAATTTTTTTTCCAGGAGTTACGCCCCTTTGAATTTATTTGCCCAATATACTACTGCAACCTTTTGTCATCGCAACTCCTCTCAAACCACACAACAGAATTTCATGAAACCTTTTCAGATAATAAGGACATACTACGTAGATGTGCATATCGACAGGAAATTACGATTCAATTAATTTTCCAGGAGTTACGCCCCTTTGAACTTATTTGCCCAATATACTACTGCAACCTTTTGTCATCGCAACTCCTCTCAAACCACACAACAGAATTTCATGAAACCTTTTCAGATAATAAGGACATACTACGTAGATGTGCATATCGACAGGAAATACGATTCAATTATTTTTCCAGGAGTTGCGCCCCTTTGAACTTATTTGCCCAATATACTACTGCAACCTTTTGTCATCGCAACTCCTCTCAAACCACACAACAGAATTTCATGAAACTGTGTAGATAATAAGGACATACTATGTAGATGTGCATATTGACAGGAAATTATGATTCAATATTTTTTTCTGATACAATTTTTTTTTCTTACAATTATTTTATTTCTTCAATGACAATGTGGGGACGTGGGGTATGTGAGCAAGCTCACTAAGGTTCTTTCATTTTCTGTTGTTTTGGAATAGAATCTACAATAGAATTTTGATTTAAAACAATTTAATGATATTTAAAAAAAAAGTGAATTCCTTAAAGCATTCAAAGATAAATAAACTTGAGAAACAGAACTTATTTTGAAATATCTGAAGATTCAAATTTCATTTCAGCTACATGTCATCTTGGTTGTCAAAATGGTGGCTATTGCTATTTACCGAATAGATGTCGCTGTCCACCTGAGTACTGGGGACCATTTTGTCAATTTCGTAAGTAAATTGCAGCTAGTAAAAAATTTTAAGTAATTTAATAATTTTATAAAACAAAACTTGATCAAGCAATGCAAGTTTCAGATAAAATTTAAATTTCCCATAATTCATGATCAAATTTCCTATAAACCTCAGATAATATTCAAGTCAAAATAAATCAGGTGTTACACATCATTTATACATGTTAGGTTGCTGTCTTATTGATCTTAATTTTACCTCTTCTTTTACCATATGCTAAGGTATGTAAATGGCCAAAACCGTTCAAGTATTATGAATCCCTCTCTCCCCCTTCTGCCTAAAAAAATGGGAGAATGTTGATGTAATAAAATATCGTTCAGATTTTTTTTTTAAATTGAAAGGTTTTAGAGCCCTTGTGTAAGAGGTAGATGTAAATGTATTTCTAGAAGCAAACATTCAGATTTGTTTTGAATTTTAATGAATAATGATTTTGACATTTATAAAGAATTGCCTTAACACTTTTTTCCTGGGACACCCTTAAGATTGCTGCCTGTGATGCTAAGAGTAATTTTAATCTTACTATAAAATGTAGTTAATTTTCTTTAAAGATTAAATATGATGAACAAATTGGATTATCTCCCCATAGTGATAAAATGTTGAAAAAAAATTAAACAGAGTCATCTTGCATAAATCACCTAAATCACCAACAGTGGCCAGCACACAGGTTTTTATTTGGAAAAAAATAACTTGAAAACTATATTCCACTGAAAATAAATGTTACTTTATTCAGTCATTAATTTTAATTTTACACTAGTAATTTTTGAGGCCCTTTATAGCTTGCTGTTCGGTGTGAGCCTTTATAGCTTGCTGTTCGGTGTGAGCCAAGGCTCTGTTTTGAAGACCGTACTTTGACATAGCTATAATGATTTACTTTTATAAATTTTGACTTGGATGGAGAGTTGTCTCATTGGCACTCATACCACATCTTCTTATATCTATATAAAGACTTAGTTTGCCAAATCTACTAATTTTATTGGATATTGTGAATTTTTATGTCAAAAGATATAAATGCCATTCAATTCATGTTTATCAAACCCTTCAGCAATAAAAAAATGGCACTGAAAGTTCATTAATTAATCAAAAATTATTATATGCTGCTGTACTCTTTTTCCTTTAATTCTAAGAAGAGTCAAGAGAGGGACAGAAGTACCTTTTTTCAGGATGTCTGCATTGGGCCTTTATTTTTGCAGGAAATTCGGGTTTTATACTTAATGGGACTTTGGAATTGATGAATTATTTTTGGGGATCAGGGGAATAGTGTTTTATTTTTTGGGAATTTGGGATTCAGCATTTATTTTTGTGGAATGTTGAGCTCAATTTCTTTTTAAATCAATACTTCCTCAACTTAACAATTGTCTTTTTTACTCAAACTTTTACTTCCAAAAATGTTGTTTAAAGTCAGTAAACTTTTGATCTATTTTTAGCCTCATGTTACCCTCCTTGTGGATATGGCAGTCTGTGCACGTCGACAAATTACTGCACATGTCGTAAATATTATACAGGAAAATATTGTAGAGTAAGTATTGGGAGTCAGAGTAAATATTAAGGAAAGATCCAAAGTTTATGCAGTGTTAAAACTAGAGTTTAACCAAGTGGTAAAGTTGAAGTCATTCCTTTTAAAGTCTTACAAACATCATTTAACATTAGTATCTATGGTGTAGGAGTAGACTGAAAAGTGTGGGGGGGGTCTGAAATATGTTGACTGCATACTACTATTTGCTGAAGTGACCTATGGTTTTATTGGCATTTCAGTCTTATTAATGATCATGGGGTTTTATTGGAAAGATTATTTGAACATATCAAAGGTAAATGTGAGATTTTGAGATGCTACAAAACTCACATCTCCCAAAATCAAGATTGTTTCTTTAAGATATGAAGTTATGTTCATAGAAACATGCCATAGTTATCAATAAAATGCCACAAAATTGGGAAAATACCAAGCAAATAATATGTAGATTAAATATTGTTGCTTCCTATTTGCTATGGTAATCTTGTGTTTTATATTTTTTTTTATAATCCCTTAGATGCTGTAAACTTAATCACATTATCTGTGTTTTCTGCATTTTCAAAAAGTTATGTCATAGCAGGTGATTGTTCCTTTTCCTCGTTTTACAGAAATGTGTACTGGCGTTTTATTATTTTTTTGGATACAAATATTTCTCGATTTTGTAGGTATTGGCTAACCATGAATTGAAATGTTAAATGAAGAAAAAAAATTCTATGAGCTTGTATGCAGACTTTGGCAAAACCTCAAAATCAATTATCCTTGAAGGTACATTTTTTCATCTATCCACGAGAATCGGTAACCACGAAATTTTTTGATAAAAGGTGATATAGGGTATATGTCACTGAGACAGCAACCATACAACATCTAGAAGAAAAGAAACAATAGATATCTTGACTACTGAAAGTACAAAAATGTGAATTATGTGACAGCGTTTATTAAAGGAAATCCTTGAAACTTTTTAACTATAACTTTTACTTGTTTTCATTGCAGAGAAGAAAAAGATGAAATAGTGACCTTTCCAAAGAATTCCAAAACATTCCAGATTAAACTACGTTATGTGAGGCACGAAAATATGAGTCGGTTTTTTCTCTAAGAGACAGAGCCAAGATTGTTTGTCTGTTGGTTAATACTCCTGTATTGAATTAACAATTAGGCAGAAGAAATATTTGCTGGTTTGACCATACTGAGTGTGCTTGTTAATCAAAGCCAAAAATCTACACCTTATACATATCTTGTTTTTATCTGTACCATAATTATTATTATATCCCAGGTCCTAAGGAAGGATGAGATACTGGGTTTACATTGGTCCCTCTGTCAATAACAAATTTAAGACCCATCTTTTCAGCATTTACAATTCATAGCCACTTGATCAATGACACCAAACTTAATCTGGTTAAGCCTTAGGATTTTCAGGGAAAAATCATTAAAGATACCAGGCTTATACTTTTGTCTACAAAAGACTCATCAGTGATGCTGGAATCATAAAAGTTAAAAGGCCAAATAAAGAATGAAATTGAAGAGCATAGAGACCCAAAATTCCAAAAGGTTTTGCCATATATAACTAAGGTAATCTCTTGCGCCCCCGTAAAATTTGCAAAGCATGGGTTGTCCTCAGCTTAATACAGAATATTTCGATAATTTTACCTCAAAAAAAGGTAATTTGTTTTAGATAAAAAAAATTTAAGTTTGCACCCTCTAACCTAAAATTCTGGATCTGCCCCTGGTTAATTTATAAATATGACCAGGTTTTCATTTTCTACAATGTTCTACTTCCTGTTTGCCAAAAACTAGTGGTTGTTTCATTACTAAAGCAGATACATCTTTTTGATTTATAAAGGTATTTTGTAATTCAGGTTGAAAAGACATACATTTCATGTCATGTAACAATCATTATGAATTCATTCTCACTGTCATGATCTGTTGATAAATGTCTGAAATTGGATATTTTTTGCTTTTACAAATTGTCAGATACCTTTCATTGTTTCATTTATTTCTATATTGTAAAGTTCTGAAGATTCTGGGCCACAGTCATTGTAAAACTAGTTAAAAGCTACATAAAATTTTTGCTGATTTAAAAATTTTTGAATGGTAGTATACTTTCAAAAATGCAGAATATATAAAAGAGAAGTTAGGTTATAAGGCCACTTTTTATGCCACTTGAAATAAATAAAAATAATATGTTTTAAAAATCTATCAAATATTCATAATATTGTCACATATCAGCATTTATAATTATGTATAATTTCATATTTGCCTTAGGCATTGTTATAGGGCTTCAAACTTCTTGCATTTACTTAGTGCAAAAGTGTCAAAAGTATCAAAATAGCCCAATTTTCAGATTATGTCATGAATATATACGAAAATATATTTTGCTGCAAGATGTATACTATATTAAAAAGATGTCAATGTGTGTAAAATTTTTATTTTGGTTGGCTTAGCTCATAACTCATTTGTCTAAAAAAGCTATGGGCAGAATGACCCTTTAAGGTCAAATATATCAATATTGACATGTTTATTCTGTTTGGATTGTTTTACACTAGTCTTTTTGGGGCCCTTTATAGCTTGCTGTTCTGTGTGAGCCAAGGCTCCGTTTTGAAGACCGTACTTTGACTTATAATTGTTTACTTTTTACATTGTGACTTGGATGGAAAGTTGTCTCATTTGCACTCATACCACATTTTCTTATTTATAATTATGAAATCATAGTGCCATAGCAAGTGCACTAAATTAACCTTGTTCAAATTGTAGTTGTAAAATTTAAAATTGCTTAAGTCTAGGTCATTTGGATAATTGTCTCATTGGCAATCATACCACATCTCCTTATTTTATACTGTTCATTCATCAAGAAAAATTAACAGAATTTGAAAGGTTTGAACAATTCTACTATTTTTTGCAACATCAAGGCCAAATGATTGCTTGTATCGTACCTCCTTCATTAAGCTTGACCATTTAATCAAATGCAGGGCTTCTTCGGTCAAGTGGTCTAAGTAGTTTCCCTACAGCCATCACTAGCCTGTCAACACAGAGGAACCAAGCTGGTGGCAGGTGCATTTGACTCCCATCTTAAATGACTGAATGCCAGTCAAATGACATGCTCTTTAGTAATAAATTAATTTAAAAGAAAAGAAAAGAAAGGTTTAGCTGCTGACAGGTTATTATGCTTGTGTAAAAGAAGTTTTCAAAGTCAGTTGAAGGGAAAGTGTTTTTCTGAATTTAATGGTAAAAAAAATAACAAAAGTTTCTTTAAATTAAAATTTTCATGCAAAGTATACAAAATATATTTATATAAATGTTAAAATTAAGATAGATCCATATGCTTGATTTTGAGATATTAGCATTTAAAGAAACAATTTTTTTCCATATAATAAATTTCTTGAGATTTTGAATAAATGAAACAAAAAAGTATAGAAGAGGGTCTGTATTGGGGGAGAGGATTGTGGTGGTGGTGGTGATGGGTGAGGGTTCTATCAAGACCCTAGTAGAAAAACGGCAAAATATTTTGCCAAATGAATTCTATAAAACATATCTTTTATAAGGAATAAAGAGAAATATAGTATTTATTTAACTTAATTTTGTTTTATATTCAAAATAAAAATAATTCTGAGGTTTAACTATTATAATTAAGTATTGGCAATTAGTAGAATCTGTTATTAGCAAACTTCCTTGGAAGGAACTAAGAAATATTAAGTAGATTTTTTTGTGCACTTATGTTTCTAGAAAGTGATTATTTTGTGTATCATGTGTAATTTTCTTTTTTTACCATATATTACATTTATTTACTTATTTATTGAACGTTTTCTGTTAACTAGTCATATTGGTTTACTTTTATACATTGTGACTTGGATGGAGAGTTGTCTCATTGGCACTCATATCACATCTTCTTATATCTATATTCATTTACTTATAACCATACAATTCAGGATAAGTTTTATTTTCATTGTATATATTAAACTACATGAATGATTTTCATGTAATAATGGGTATGCTTGGCAGAAGCAGATTTAGGGGAGGGGGACAGGCCCCAATTATGGAGCTTCAGTTATGGTTAATGCATAGACTTTTTTAAGTCCAGCTTCTAACGTCTTACCATTGGGCTAGCCCCCCCCCCCCCCCCCCCCCCCCCTTAATTTAAAAATCCTGGATCTGCACCTGCTTGGAATAAAAACAAACACTTTATTCAAAAGAATAAGATAATGAAAATCTGTGATGATTCATGTACTGGTGTTAGTATGTATAATATATATATATATATATGATATTACAAATTTCCTAATTATATGTTTATTCAATAGTTGAGACTTATTTTTACTATGAAAAAAAAAATACGTTAAATTTGTATTTATTAAATAAATTTGTGAAAATATGATGTCTGTTCAATTGAATTCAGTTTGATATTTATTTGAATGTTTGGCTTTGAATGCTATTAAAATATAAGTTTTTATTGTTGTTTAGACTGAATATTATAAGAATATATAATCTGGTTTATAATAGCTAGGATTGTCCTTGGTTTAATATAAATAGGAGTTGTGGTATGATTGCCAAAGAGACAACTATCCACCAAAGTTCAAATGGGGTTGTTATAAATTCTTGACATCTGCCAAAAATGTGAAATCTAATCTAAGTGTAATTGCAAAAATTTTATGAAGGAAAATCGCAGTACTGGAATTATGAATGCAAATTTTTATTATGTTTGCCTGGTCAGTGTGTTAAAATGATTTCCTGGTCTTCACAAGTGCCTCACATTGTGTCGTAGAATTTGACTCATTACCATCCTCACCAAACACTGCAGATGACACTTTCTTTATATGAGATGCTGACCATTTTACAGCACTTAAAATTACAACTACCTTTTTATGCAAATCTGTATTTCCAAAGATTTATTTCAACTGCTATATGCACAGGCACTTGTTTTCTATCCATGGCAAGATCTACTATCCCTATATCCCTACTGATTGGTGACCATACAGTACAGCCTTCAATGATGAGCAAAACCCATACCAAATAGTAAGCTATAAAAGTATTATATGAACTTATTTTGTCATAATTTGGCTTCTAAAAATCAATAAAGTCATATAATTATATCATTTCATCTCAGAAGTATAAAAAAACTTTGGGTGTTTTGAGAGACTGGCATGAAATGAAAGTATAAAATACAAATCACCTGTGCTGCACATTTGTCCCCCTTGAGTCAACAGTGCTACACATTGGTTCCTTACAGATGCCTGTACTACACTTTGTCCCCTCTTGAGTCAACTGTGCTACGCATTGGTACCTTAGAGATACTTGTACTACACTTTGTCCCCTCGAGTCAACTGTGCTACACATTTGTCCCTTAGTGATACATGTACTACACTTTGTCCCCTTTTGAGTCAACTGTGCTACACATTTGTCCCTTAGTGATACATGTACTGCACTTTGTCCCCTTTTGAGTCAACTGTGCTACACATTTGTCTCCTTTGAGTCAAATGTGCTACACATTGGTCCCTTAGAAATACTTGTACTACAAATTGTCCCCCTCTGGAGTCAACTGTGCTACACATTGGTCCCGTAGAGATACCTGTACTACACATTGGTCCCTTAGAGATACCTGTACTTCACTTTGTCCCCTTTTGAGTCTACTGTGCACATGTGTCCCCCTTGAGTCAAATGTGCTACACATTGGTCCCTTAGAGATACATGTACTACACTTTGTCCCCTCTTGAGTCAACTGTGCTACACATGGATCACTTAGAGATACCTGTACTACACATTGGTCCCTTATAGATACCTGTACTACACTTTTTCCCCTCTGGAGTTAACTGTGCTACACATTGTCCACATGGAGTCACCTATTATACACATGTGTTACACTTGATCCCGTCTTGAGTCAACTGTGCTGCACATTTGTCCCCCCTTGAGTCAAATGTGCTACACATGGATCACTTAGAGATACCTGTACTACACATTGGTCCCTTATAGATACCTGTACTTCACTTTTCCCCCTCTGAAGTTAACTGTGCTAAACATTGTCCACATGGAGTCACCTGTTATACATATGTGTTTGCTACAAAATAGTTGTGCTACACGTTTGTTTCCATGGAGACGGCTATGCTACATATTTGTCCCTCAAGAGACATGCAGCTGTGCTACTCATGTGTTCCCTAGGAGACAGCTGTGCTACATATTTATTGGCCAAAAACAGCTCAGCTATATATTTGTCCCTATTAAAGACAGATATGTTACACATTTGTCCCCT